GACAGGCGGCCATGGGCCAGCGGCGCTGCGGCTGCTGACGGCGGGTGAGTCCCAATGTCCCCAATGTCCCCAATGTCCCCAATGTCTGTCCCCAGTGTCCCCCCCCGCTCTCCCCTAGGAACGTCCCCCATGTCCCCAGAGGTGCCACCCCCGTGTAGCCTCTTCCCCCAGGAATGTCCCCACGGGTGTCCCCAGTGTCCCCATGAGATGACATCCTGGGGATCCTCGTGTCCCCCAGAGATGTCCCCAGGCTGTCGCCATTGCTGTCCCCATGGCTGTCCCCACACTGTCCCCGTGTCCCCACACCTGTCCCCATGTCCCCCAGAGACGTCCCCACACTATCCCCATATGGTCCCTATGTCCCCATGCTTGTCCCCATGTCCCCACTCTGTCCCCATGCCTGTCCCCATGTCCCCGTGCTCTTCCAACGCTGTCCCCGTGTCCCCACGCCGTCCCTGTGTCCCTACACTGTCCCCACACCTGTCCCTGTGTCCCCAGGCTGTCCCCACGCTGTCCCCACGCTTGTCCCCACACCTGTCCCTGTGTCCCCACGCCGTCCCTGTGTCCCCAGCTGTCCCCAGGCTGTCCCCACACCTGTCCCTGTGTCCCCACGCTGTCCCCAGCTGTCCCCAGATGTCCCCACCTGTCCCTGTGTCCCCACACCTGTCCCTGTGTCCCCAGCTGTCCCCAGCTGTCCCTGTGTCCCCTCAGGATGCCGCTGGGGGGGTCTCTGTGCGGTGCCAGCGGCCTGGCGCTGCTGGTGGCCGCCACGGCCACCCCGTTCTGGGCACAGCGCCGGGCACCGGGGGGCACGGCCAGCCTGGGGCTGTGGCATGGCTGCCTCGGGGGACAGTGCCACCCCCACGCCACCACCCCAGGTACGCCCGGCATGGGGGGACAAGGGGTGGGAACCCGGGGGGGGGCAGCCCTGTCCCCAACGTCCCCACCCCTGGGGGTGTCATCGCTGTCCCTGTGGTGGTGCCACCCGTGGGAACCCCAGAGCTGTCCCCACGGATGTCCCTGGAGGTGTCACCCCCATGCAGGGCAGGAATTTGGGAGGGTCCATCCCTGTCCCCATTGTCCCCACCCCTGGGGGTGTCATCGCTGTCCCTGTGGTGGTGCCACCCGTGGGAACCCCAGAGCTGTCCCCACGGATGTCCCTGGAGGTGTCACCCCCGTGCAGGGCAGGAATTTGGGAGGGTCCATTCCTGTCCCCAGTGTCCCCAGCCCTGGGTCCCTCCGTGATGTCCCTGCTGTCCCCAGCGGTGCCACCCGCGGAGAACCCCAGAGATGTCCCCATGGGTGTCCCCAGCGTCCCCCGGAGACCAGAGGTGTCTGTCCCTGGTGGTGCCACCCCCAGAGCTGTCCCCGCGGGTGTCCCTGGTGATGTCACCCTCATGCAGGGCAGGAATTGGAGGAAGGTCCCTCCCTGTCCCCAACGTCCCCACCCCTGGGGGTGTCCCCACTGTCCCCAGCCGTGCCAACCCCAGCGCTGTCCCCACGGGTGTCCCCAGCGTCCCCCGGAGGTGTCACCCCCATACAGGGTGGAACTGGGGGGGTCCATCCCTGTCCCCAACGTCCCCACCCCTGTCCCTGGCGCTGCCACCCTCAGAGCTGTCCCCGCAGTGTCCCTCAGATATGGCAGCCGGGGGTGTCACCCGCGTGTCCCCGCGGTGTCCCCACGCCCTGTCCCCGTCCCCCCCAGCGCTCCTGGAGGCCACCCGGGCGCTGCTGCTGCTCTCGGTCGTCGCCGCGGCCGCGGGGCTCGTCCTGGGGCTGCCCCTGGGGCCCGGCGGGGCCCGGCGGGAGCGGGAACGAGCGGCCGGGGCCACCCTGCTGCTGGCAGGTGCGTGGGGACACCGGGGGACACCGGGGACACGAGGGGACATGGGGGACATGGAGGTTGGGGATTGTCCCCATAGGGGCTGGGCTGGGCGGGATGGGGATTTGGGGACATCGGGGCTGTCCCTGTCCCTGCTGGGAGTGTCACCCGTGCCCTGAGCTGTCCCCTGTCCCCTGTCCCTGCTGGGAGTGTCACCCGTGCCCTGAGCTGTCCCCTGTCCCTGCAGGGTGGGAATTTGGGGATCATCAGTGTCCCAAACTGTCCCCTGTCCCTGCTCTATTGTCACTCCTGTCCCTGTCCCCTGTCCCTGCTTTGCTGTCCCTGCCCTGAGCCGTCCCCTGTCCCTATTCTTTTGTCACTCCTGTCCCTGCTGTCCCCATCCCAAACTGTCCCCTGTCCCTGCTCTGTTGTCGTTCCTGTCCCTGTCCCCTGTTCCCTCTGTCCCCTGTCTCTGTCCCTGCTGTCCCTGTCCCTGCTGTCCCTATCCTCACCGTCCCTGTCCCCACTGTCCCTGCTGTCCCTGTCCCGGCTCTATTGTCCGTGCTGTCCCTGCTGTCCCCACTGTCCCTGCCCCTGGTGTCCCCTCTGTCCCTGTCCCCATGTCCCTGTCCCCACTGTCCCCGGTGTCCCCAGGGCTGCTGGCGCTGCTGGGGCTCGGGCTGGGCTCTGGGGGGGCCCTGGCCCTGCTGGGCCCCCCCCGCAGCTCCTGGAGCTTCTCCTGGTCCTTCATCCTGGCCTGGGTGGCGGCGGCGCTGCTGGGCTCGGCCGGTACCGGGAGCGGCACCGGGAACCGGGAAGGGGAACCGGGAACGGGAACGGGAACGGGGGAGGAACGGGAACGGGCAGGGGAACGGAAACGGGAGGGGGAAACGGGAATAGGAAAGGAACGGGAACGGGGTGGGGTGGGGGCACCGGGAACGGGGCGGGGAACGGGACAGGGGGGGAAAACGGGAACGGGGGGGGGAAATGGGAATGGAGGGGAACGAGAACGGGAACGGGAAACGAGACGGGAATGGAAGGGAGGGGAACGGGAAAGGGGGAACGGGGATTTGGGGTGTCACGGTAACGGGCGGGGGGGGTCAGGGGAATTGGGGGGGAGCACGGGAACGGGGGGGGGGGGACGGGAATGGAGGGGGCACGGGAAGGGGAAAACGGGATCGGGAGGGAACGGGAACGGGGCGGGGGGGAACGGGAACGGGGCGGGGGGGAACGGGGAGTCACCGGAGCCGGGATTTGGAGGGGGAACGGGAACGGGGGAGAACGGGAACGGCGGGCACCGAAACGGTGCGGGGGAAACGGGGAGCTGGGTGGGGGGGACACGGGAACGGGGGGGACACCGGAACGGGGAGGGGAGAACGGGACTGGGAGGGAACGGGAACAGGGGGGAAGAACGAGGATTTGGGGGGTCACGGGAACGGGGGGGTCCATCCCTGCCCTGCCCTGTGCCCAGGCTCTGCAAAGGGTGGGATTTCGGCCCCCCACATTTTTTGGGGTTCCCAAATCCCCTCCTCACCCCCCCAACCCCTCCTTTCCCCCCCCCCCCCCGAAGGGATTTTCCACATCTGCTCCGCTTCCAAGGACCCGTCCCCGGAGAGCTCCGAAGCTGGGGGGTCCTGAGGGAGGGGGTCCGTGTTTCCCTCCCCCAATTTTGGGGTCCCCCGGATGTGCTCAGCTGGGTCTGGTCTCTGCTGATCCCCCTCCGTTCCTGTTCCCGTTTTTTCCCAAATTTCCCATTTTTTGCTGTGCCAATAAACGCCCCCCCCCGCTCCAGCTCCCGGTGGGTTTCCCTGGGGGAAATTCGGGGATCCCAAAACTTTTGGGGGCGTCGGTGATGGCCCCAGGTGTGGGAAGGAACTGGGATATGCTGGGGGGGGGTTACTGGGAGGGGACGGGGATGGACTGGGGGGGATACGAGGGGTGCTGGGAGGTGCATGGGGGGGCACTGGGAGCACTGGGAATTCCATGGGGGGTTACTGGGAGGTCCATGGAGGGTCACTGGGTGGACTGGGAGGTCCATCGGGGACACTGGGAGCACTGGGAGGGAGCACTGGGAGGTCCATGGAGTGCACTGGGAGCACTGGGGGTGCCATGGAGGGCACTGGGGGTGCCATGGAGGGTACTGGGAGCACTGGGAGGTCCGTGGAGATGTCACTGGGAGCACTGGGAGGTCCATGGAGGGTTCTGGGGGCACTGGGGGTGCCATGGAGGGGTCACTGGGAGCACTGGGGATGCCATGGGGGGGTCACTGGGGACACTGGGAGGTCCATGGAGATGTCACTGGGAGCACTGGGAGGTCCATGGAGGGCACTGGGAGCATTGGGAGGGAGGACTGGGAGGTCCATGGAGCGCACTGGGAGTACTGGGGGCACTGGAAGGTCCGTGGAGATGTCACTGGGAGCACTGGGGGTGCCATGGAGGGTACTGGGGGCACTGGGAGGTCCATGGAGGGCACTGGGGGCACTGGGAGGTCTATGGAGGGTACTGGGGGCACTGGGAGGTCCATGGAGGTACTGGGGGCACTGGGAGGTCCATGGAGGTACTGGGGGCACTGGGAGGTCTATGGAGGGTACTGGGAGGTCCATGGAGGTACTGGGGGCACTGGGAGGTCTATGGAGGGTACTGGGGGTACTGGGAGGTCCATGGAGGGTTCTGGGGGCACTGGCGGCACCGGGAGCGCTCCCGGCCTCGCCGCTCCCCCCGCCGGGTGTGGCCCCACCGCTCCCCCCGCGGCCATCGCCGCTTTAAGGCCGCGCCCTGGGCCCCGCCCCCGGCCGGACCTGCCGGACCGGTCCGCCCCGCCCGGCCCCGCCCCTCCATGCCCCGCCCCTCCATGCCCCGCCCCCTGAACCCCGCCCCGCCCCGCCCCTGCCCCGGTACCGTCCCGCAGCTGAGCAGCACCGGCCCCTCCGCCGCCACCGGCCCGGCTCGGCCCGATCGGCCCCGGTCCCGCCCGGTCCGGCCCGGCTCAGCCCGGAGCCCCTCGGTGCCTCCCGGTGCGTCCCGGTGGCTCCCGGTGCTGCCCGGTACTGCCCGGAGGGAGCCGCCGAGGCTGTGCCCGGTTGTCCCGGCGCTGTCCCGGCGGTGCCGGTGGGGCCCGCTCCGGTCCGGATGGTGCTGCCCGGGCCCCGAGCCGCGCCGTGAGCCCGGAGCGCTCCGCATGGAGCCCCGCGGGATGCCCGGGGCGCCCGTGCTCCTGCTCGGCTTCCTGCTCGCCGTGACCGGTAAGGGCCACGGGACACCGGGACTGGCACCGGGATAAGGACCGGGATAAGGACCGGGAGCGGCTGTCCCGGCTGCGAGTCGGGCCGGGGGCGGGAGCGGCTCCCCCGGTTCTCCCCGACCGGCACCGAGGCTCGGGGGTACCGGGGCCAGCCGGGAGCTCCCGGAGGGGCCGAACTGGGACCGGGAAAGGGGGGGACGGGGGGGACGGGAGCGGGGATCCCATGGAGCGGGGGTTGGGGTGAAACCGGGAGCGGCGGGGGCGCGCGCGGGTGTGCGCGCACAGGCGCGTGTGCAGGTGCGCGCGTGTGTGTGTGTGTGTGTACGTGGGAGCGCTCGCGTGTGCACCTGCGGCCCCGCGTGTCCGTGTGTCCGTGCGGCGCGTGTCCGTGTGTCCGTGGTGGGGGGGGGATGATGATGATGATGATGGAAGGGGGGGGGTGTACGGGGGGGCGGACGGCGCCGCGGGCGCTTCACACGCGTGTGCGCGCACACACCTGCGCGCGTGCCCGTGCGTGCGCACCTGCGCCTCTGCGTGGGCTCCGCTCCCGGGCACGCGGACCCGTTTGGGGACACCCTGGGTGGAAGTTGGCGGGGGGGGTGGGGGACAAACCGTGGGAACGGCGACACCACCGGGATGCCCCGGGGGGGGGGGTCCCTGCTCTGCCCCGCCCCCCCTCCCCCGCCGTGCCTCAGTTTCCCCTCTGGACCCGTGGGAACGGGCTGGGGACCACCGAAATGTGCTGAGCCCCCCCCACCCCGACCCACGCGGGATCCGCACCCCACGGGAGACTCGGCGGGGTCCCCGCGCCCGCCCTGGAGCCCTGCGGGGGCGCGGGGCGCACACGCGTGTGCAAGGGGTTCCCACGAGTGTGCAAGGGTTCCCACGCGTGTGCGAGCGACTCTTTTGGATTCTTGAGGGGGGTTCCCTCCACGCGTGTCCCCCCCCCCCCCCCAATCCCGGGGTGCGGGCACAGGGGGTGCCCCCGCACGTGCGCGCGCGTCCCCGTGGGAAAAAAAAAAACCCGCCCCGAGCGCCTCCCCCCCCCTTCCCCCCACGCGGGGCTCGACCCCCGTGGGAATTCGGGATTTGGGGGGGACCCCCCCCCCTCCTCACCCACCCCCGGGACCCCCCGGTGGCGCTGCCGGGGCTGTTTTTGGGCCCCCCCCCCCCCCCCGCCCGCCCCGTTTTGAGCGCGGCCGGGGCGTGGGGGCCGCGGGGCCGGTTCTGCCGGTTCCCCGCGCCCGTTCCCACGCGCTCGGGCCCCGCTGGGTGGGGACGCCCCGAGGGGGGGGAACCTCCCCAGGGAACCCCAGAACCGCCCCGCGGACGCCGCGACCCCCGCGGGACCCCCCCGGAGCCATCCCGGGACCCCCGGTTGGGCTCTGCGAGAGCGGCGGCGCTCGGGGGAAACTGAGGCACGTGGTGGTGGTGAGGAGGGAAGGGGGGCTGCGGGGTGGTTAATGAAAGGGTTAATGAGTCGGGGGTCCTGGGAGGGGGTTTAGGAGGTGGGGGGGGCATTTTGGGGAGCCCCCGGGGGGCTCGGCGGGGGCGGCAGCGCGGGATCCGTCCCGGCCGGTTGGGCTGGACGGGCCGGCCCGGCCGCTTCTGGCGGCGGCGGCGGGGCGGGACACGCCCCCCAAGGCTGCTGGACACGCCCCCTCCCCTCCCGGACACGCCCCCTCCCCAAAAATGTACCCCCAAAAATGCACCCCCGACCCCCCCCAAGGAGACCCCCGAGTCCTGCACCCCAAACTTGAATCTAAAGGCACCTAATGAGCCCCAAATCCCGCACCCCAAATTCTCAGCCACAATCCTGCACCCCATATCCCGCATCCCAAAACTGCACCCCACATTCTGTGCCCCAAATTCTCCACCCCATACCTGCCCCCCAAAACCTCAGCCAGTCCCCAAAACTGCACCCCAAAAATGCACCTCAAATCCCGCATCCCAAATTCTCAACCACAAACCTCTCCCCCAAAAACCTCAGCGAGTCCCCAAAACCGCACCCTAAAACTGCATCCCCAAAAATGAACCTCAGACCCCCAAATCCTGCACCCCAAATCCTGAACCCCAAAACTGTCCCAAAACCCTAAGGCAGCACCCGCACCCCAAACCCTGCACCCCAAACCTGCAGCTCAAATCCTGCACCCCCAATCTCCACCCCAAAGCCCAGCCAGCCCCTGAACCTGAACCCCAAATCCTGCAGGTACGCCCAGGTGTGCCCAGGTGTGCCCTGAGCCTTGTGCAGGGGTGCCCATGTGTGTGTGAGTGTGCCCAGGTGTGCCCAGGTGTGTGTGAATGTGCCCAGGTGTGCCCAGGTGTGCCCAGGTGTGTGTGAGTGTGCCCAGGTGTTGCTCTCACACACCTGGAATCAGCCCAGGTGCCCACAGGTGGTGGCACAGGGCCCACGCTGAGGTCCCTGTGTGTCCCTGCAGGTGGAGGTGCCACATCTCTGTCCCCCTGCACATCCCCGTGCTCCTCAGTGCCACACCGGGTGACACAGGTGTCACACTCAGGTGTCACTCAGGTGTCCCTGCAGGTGGGGGCTGCGAGGAGGTGCCTGTACCCACAGACAGGTGTCACCACAGGTGTCCCAGGTGTCAACACAGGTGTCCCTCAGGTGTCCCCCCCATGTTCCCGCAGGCAGTGGCTGCATGGAGGTGCCTGTACCCACACTCAGGTGTTCCAGGTGCCACACTCAGGTGTCCCCCAGGTGTCACAGGTGTTCCCCCATGTGTCCCTGCAGGCGGTGGCCGCGTGGAGGTGCCTGTACCCATGCTCAGGTGTCACAGGTGGTGTCACACACAGGTGTCACAGGTGTCACACTCAGGTGTCACAGGTGGTGTCACACACAGGTGTCACAGGTGTCACACTCAGGTGTCCCCGGGTGTCACTCAGCTGTCCCCCCGTGTGTCCCCGCAGGCGGTGGCCGCGTGGAGGTGCCTGTACCCACACTCAGGTGTCACACACAGGTGTCACACACAGGTGTCACCGGTGTCACACACAGGTGTCGCAAGTGGTGTCACTCAGGTGTCCCTGGGTGTCACTCAGGTGTCCCCGTGTCCCCACAGGCGGTGGCCGCGTGGAGGTGCCTGTACTCACACTCAGGTGTCACACACAGGTGTCACAGGTGGTGTCACAGGTGGTGTCACACACAGGTGTCACAGGTGTCACACACAGGTGTCACAGGTGTCACACTCAGGTGTCCCCGGGTGTCACTCAGCTGTCCCCCCGTGTGTCCCCGCAGGCGGTGGCCGCGTGGAGGTGCCGCGCAGCGTGACGGCGGTGCTGGGGCAGGACGTGGTGCTGCCGTGCCGGTACCGGGCGCAGGAGCAGGAGCAGGTGGTGCAGGTGACGTGGCTGAAGCGCGGCGGCGCGGGCGCGGCGCCCGCCGAGGTGGCCGTGCTGAACCCGCAGCACGGCGAGCACGTGCAGGAGCCCTTCGTGGGCCGCGTCCTGCGCCACGGGCACGGCGACCTCGGCGACGGCGCCATCGTCCTGCGCAACGCCGTGCAGGGCGACGAGGGCGACTACGAGTGCCACCTGATCACCTTCCCCATGGGCAACTTCGAGGGGCGCCTCACGCTCAGGGTGCTCGGTGAGCGGGGGACAGGGGCACGGGGAGCGTGGGACATGTGGGACACAGGGGACATGGGGGGTATGGGGGGCACAGGGGACGTGGGACAGGGATGGGGGCACAAGGGGTGTGGGGAACGTGGGGGGCACAGGGGACATGGGGTACATGGGACAGGGATGTGGGGCACAGGGGGTGTGGGACAGGGGTGGGGGGCGGAGGGGACATCGGGTATGTGGGATGTGGGGCACATGGGGCAAGGGACATGGGGAACAGGGGACATGGGGCACATGGGACAGGGGACATGGGGATATAAAGGCACGGGGGACATATGGGACACAGGGGACATGGGACAGAGGATGTGGGACATGTGGGACAGGGATGTGGGGCACAGGGCACATGGAGGGTATGAGGGGCACAGGGACATGGGGCATGTGGAACGGGGGACATGGGACATGTGGGGCACATGGGACATGTGGGACAAGGGACATGGGGCACATGGGACATATAGGACACAGGGGGACAGGGGGACATGGGACAGGGATGCGGGGCACAGGGGACATGGGGCATGTGAGACAGGGGACATGGGACACATGGGTCACATGGGACTGGGGATGTGGGGCATGGAGGGTGAGGAATGTGGGATACGGGACATTGGGTACATGGGACACAGGTGACATGGGGCACAGGGGACACAGGGGTTATGGGGAGCATGTAGGACATGGGACACAGGGGACATGGAGCATGTAGGACATGGGGCACATGGAGGGCAGAGGGGACACCACGGGCATGGTGGGTTGGGGAATTTTGGGCACTGGGGACACAACGGTGCCACGTGGACACCCCCCACGCCACCAACACCCCAAGCCCCCGATAAACCCCCAACATCCCCACCGCTCCCCTAACCACCCCGTCCACCCCATCAGTGCCACCGCTGCCCATCCTGAACCCGGGCCCGCCGCTGGAGGAGGGCCAGGGCCGGACGCTGGCGGCCTCGTGCACGGCCGAGGGCAGCCCGGTGCCCTCGGTGCGCTGGGAGACCGAGGTGCGCGGCACCAACGCCACGCGGCGCTCGGCCCACGCGCGCTCCGCCTCCGTCACCAGCGAGTTCTTCCTGGTGCCCGGGCGCAGCATGAACGGCAAGAGCCTCACCTGCGTGGTGGCGCACCCCGGCCTGCGCCACGAGAAGAGGATCACGCACCAGCTCAGCGTCGCCTGTGCGCCAGCGGGCAGTGATGGGAGCTGGGGGGTGACGGGGGCATTGGGGGTGATGGCAGCATGGGGGACATGGAGGGTGTTGGGGGCATGGATGGTAATGGGGGCATGGAGGGTGTTGGGGGCATGGAGGGTGTGGGGAGCATGGAGGGTGTTGGGGGCATGGAGGGTGTTGGTGACATGGGGGACATGGTGGGTGTTGGGGGCATGGAGGGTAATGGGGAGTGTGGGAGGTATTTGGGACATGGGGGGCATTGGGGATGTGGAGAGCTCTGGGGACATGGCGGGCCATTGGGGACATGGCGGTTGACAGGGGACATGGAAGGTGTTGGGGACACTGGGGGTAATGGGGGACATGGGGGGCACTGGGGACATGGGGGTTGACAGGGAAGGTGGAGAGTGTTGGGGACATGGGGAGTGTAGAGATCTCTGGGGACATGGGGGGCATGGGGGACATGGAGGGTGTTGGGGGCACTGGGGACATGAGGGTTGACAGGGGACATGGACAGTGTTGGGGACATGGGGGGCATTGAGGACATGGGGTGTGATGGACGTTGGGGACATGGAAGGAGTTGGGAACATGGAGAGCGCTGGGGACATGATGGGCATTGGGGACAGGGGGAGCACTGGGGACCTGGGGGACATGGAGGGTGTTGGGGACATGGAGGGCATGGGGGACATGGAGGGCTTTGGGGACATGGGGGACATGGAGGGTGTTGGGGACACGATGGGCACTGGGGACATGCAGAGCACTGAGGGACATGGAGGCATTGGGGATATTGAGATGTGTGGAGGGTGTTGGGGACATTGGAGGGTGTTGGGGACATCCTGGGCACAAGGGGACATTGAGGACATGGAAATCTGGGGACATTGGAGACTTTGGGGACACTGGGGGCCCTGGGCAGGTGGAGGCTGTTGGGGACATGGGGCACACAGGTGACATTGGCAGTGTGAGGACACAGGTGACACTGGGGGATGCTGGCACGGAGGACCTTGGGGACACGGAGGGTGGGACATTGGGCATGAGGAGGATGAGGGACACAGGGGGACACCGTGGCCGTGGGGGGCACGGCAGGGCCGTGGGACCTTGTCCCCTGACTGTCCCCTCGGTGTCCCCAGACCTGTCGGACGCGTCGGTGCTGGGCCACACGGCCGAGTGGCAGGAGGGGATGGAGGGGGCGGCGCTGACCTGCCTGGGGGACGGCAACCCCCCCCCGACGTACAACTGGACACGGTGAGGCCCCTGTCCCCCCCTGTCCCCCCCTGTGTCACCCCAGGGCACCCCCTGTCACCCCCTGCCTCCTCCCCATGGCCCCCTGCCCTGGGTCCCCTCGCCTGTGTCCCCAGAGCACGGCTGTGTCCCCAGCAGGGTCTGGAGCAGGTTCGTGTCCTTGTGGTGTCCCCTGCCCCAGCTCTGTCCCCACTGTGTCCCCCTGACTGTGTCCCTGCCTGTGTCTGTGCCCCATGGCCCTGCTGTGTCCCTCCTGTCCCTGCCATGTCCCTGTTGTGTCACCCCTGTCCTTTTCGTGTCCCCCTGTCCCTGCCATCTCCCCGTGCCCATGTCCCTGCCACGTCCTTGATGTGTCACCCTTGTCCCTTCCATGTCCCCCTGTCCCTGCTGTGTCCCCCCTGTCCCTTACACATCCCCCTGTCCCTGTCACATCCACTGTCCCTGCTGTGTCCTTGTCCCTGCCACATCCCCCTAACTTCCACATCCCCCTGTGCCTTCCGTGTCCCCCTGTCCCTGTCACATCCCCCTGTCCCTGTCACATCCCTGTCCCACCTCCCCACCCCCAGTCCTGCCCCCGCCCGTGCCATTCTGGTGCCGGTGCCGCCGTGGCTGGGCCTGGCAGTGCCGCGTGCCCGGGCAGGCCCCGGCTGGGCGGCACCCGTGGGAACCGGCACGGCGGCTTTGATGGCACCGATGGCACCGGCACCGCCCGGGCAGGCCGGGGCTGTCACCGGGGAGTGTCACCGGGGGTGTCCCTGAGGGGTGTCACCAGGGCTGTAACCGGGGGGTGTCACCAGGGCTGTTATGGGGGCTGTCACTGGAATTGACACCAGGGGCGGTCACCAAGGGTTGTCGCCAGGAGATGCCACCAGGGGCTGTCACTGGGGCTGTCACCAGGGCTGTTATGGGGGCTGTCACCAGGGCTGTCACTGGGGCTGTCACCAGGGCTGACACCGGGGATTGTCACTATGGTTGTCACCGGGGCTGTCACCGGGGCTGTCATGGGGAGATGTCACTGTGGCTGTCGCCGGGGCTGACACCGAGCTGTCCCCGCAGGGTGGACGCGCCGCTGCCCGCGGGTGTCAGGGTCAAGGGGGACACGCTGCTGTTCCAGCGGCCGCTGGCCGTGGCCGATGCTGGTGACTACGTGTGCCGAGTGTCCAACCGAGTGGCTGCCAAGGAGGCCCGGGCCAACGTCAGCATCCGGGGACGCGCCACAGGTGGGGACAGGGACAGGGGGCTTAGTTTCTGCATCTCTCTGTATGTCCATCTGTCTGTTTATCTGACCATCCATCCATCCATTGTCCGTCCATCCATCCATCCATCCATCCATCCATCCATCCATCCATCCATCCATCCGTCCATCCATCCTCCATCCATCCATCCATCCGTCCATCCATCCGTCCATCCGTCCATCCATCCACCCATCCCTCTGTCCACTCATCTGTTCATCCATTCATTCACTCATCCACCCGTCTGTCCCTCCTTCCTCCGCTCCTCCCATCCTGTGCCCATCCCACCAAGGTCCATCCCTCTTCCACGCCCGTCCACTCATCGCGTGCTCATCCAGCCCAGCTTTACTCACTGCCTGCTCACACCTGCCCTTCCATCTCCTCATCCGCCCTTCCGTCCACTCATCAGCCTTTCTGTCCACTCCTCTGTCCTTCTGTCCACTCATCCACCCTTCTGTCCACTCATCAGCCTTTCTGTCCACTCCTCTGTCCTTCTGTCCACTCCTCCACCCTTCTGTCCACTCCTTCATCCTTCTGTCCACTCACCCACCCTGCCGTTCCCTCACCCGCCCTGCTGTCCACTCATCTGTCCTTTCATCCCCTCATCCATCCTTCTGTCCACTCCTTCGTCCTTCCGTCCACTCCTCCATTCCTTCTGTCCACTCACCCATCTGGTCATGCCTCCAGATTCCTGCTTATCCATCCGTCCATCCATCCATCCGTCCGTCCATCCATCCATCCATCCGTCCATCCATCCATCCTCTGACACCTCTCACTGTCCATCCCCACCCAGTGGTCACCCACCCACCCGCCATCCATGGGCTTGTCCATCTGTCCATCATCCCACCCCTGGATGTCTTTGTTAGTCCATCCATCCATGGACACGCCTCCGTCCATCCGTGGACGGACTCATCCATCTGTCCATCCATCTGTCTGTCCACGGACTTGTCCATCCATGGTCTCCCCCACTCATCCATGAGGTCTCCCCCACTCGGGGTGTCCCCCCTGACCCTCTCTGAGGTCTGCTCTCTCTTTGGGGTGTCCCCCCACTTTAGGGTGTGTCCCCCTGACCCTTTTTGAGGTCTCCTTCACCTTTGGAATGTCCTCTGACCCCTTGGAGGTATCTCCTGTCTTTGTGGTGTCCCCCTGACCCTTTTTGAGGTCTCCTTCACCTTTGGGATGTCCTCTGACCCCCTGGAGTCACACCATGTCTTTGTGGTGTCCCCCTGGCCTTCTTTGAGGTCTCCCTCTGTTTGGGGTGTCCCCTGACCCCTGTTTTGGGGTCTCCCCTGTTTCGGGGTGCCCCTGACCCCTGTGGGTGCCCGCAGAGGACACGGTGCGCCGCGTGGACCTGGTGTCGGCCTCGGTGGTGGTGGTCGGGGTCATCGCCGCCGTCCTGCTCTGCGTCCTCGTCATCGTCGTGGTGGTCATGACCCTGTACCACAAACGCAAGACACAGCGCATCTCCGAGAAGTAGTAAGGGAGGGGACAGGGGACATGGGGACACGGGGGGGGACACAGGTACATGGAGAGACATGGGGACACAGGGAACATGGATGGACATAGGGGACATGGTGGGACATGGGGACACAGGGGACGTGGTGGGACATGGTGGCTATGAGGGTGTATGGGGACAGGGGGACATGAGGGACATGGGGATCATAGAGGACATGGATGGACATAGGGGACATTGGGGGACATGGAGGGACACGAGGACATGGGGGGGGGACACTGTGGGACATGGGGACACAGGGGACATGGGGACATGGATGGACATGGGGTACATTGGGGGACATGGGGGGACACTGGGGGACACAGGTACATGGAGGGACTTGGGAACATGAAGGACCTGGGGACATGGGGGATGTGGGGGACAAGGTGGACACAAGGACATGGAAGATGCAGGGGGACACGATGGGGACACGATGGGGACATGGGATAGACACAGAGGACATGGCAGGACATGAGGGACACGGGGGACAGAGCAGGACAAGGGAGGACATGGACACGGCCACGAGGGGACATGGGAGGACACGGGGGGACACATGAAGGACACAGCAGGACCTGTGGGCACACGGGGGTGCTGAGTGTCCCCTGTGTCCCCAGCGAGGAGGAGCTGACGCTGACCCGGGAAAATTCCATCCGGAGGCTCCACTCCAGCCACAGCAGCGACCCCCGGGCACAGGTGGGGACACGGAAACGGGGGGGACCGGGGGGGGGCTTGGGGTGGGGGGTTTGGGGGGCTCGGGGTGCCCAAGGAAGGGGGGCTTGGGTTGGGTTGTGGGGTGTTCATGGGGTGTCCTTGGGTTGTCTAAGGGGTCAAACTTTGGGGTATCCATGGGGTGTCCATGGGGTCAGGCTTTGGGATGTCCATGAGGTATCCATGGGGTGTCCATGGGGTGTCCATTGGGCATTCATGGGTTCAGACTTTGCAATATCCATGGGGTCTCCATGGAATCAAACTGGGGGATCCATGGGGTATCCGTGGGGTGTCCTTGGGGTGTCTATGGGGTCAGACTTTGGGGTGTCCATGGGGTCAGACTTTGGGGTGTCCATGGAATGTTCATGGCATCAGACTTTGGGTTGTCCGTGGTGTGTCCATGGGGTGTCCATGGGGTCAGACGTTGGGGTGTCCATGGAGTGTCCATGGGGTCAGACTTTGGGGTGTCCATGGGGTGTCCATGGGGTCAGACGTTGGGGTGTCCGTGGGGTGTCCGGGGTGTCCTGGGCGCTGACCAACCTGTCCCAGCTGGAGGAGACGCTGCAGCTGCGGACGGAGAGTCGCCAGGGCAGCCTGCGAGGGGACAGCCTGCGAGGGGACAGCCTGAGGGGGGACAGCCTGAGGGGGGACAGCCTGCGTGGCACCAGCATCTGCTCCGCCATGGTGAGACACCGGGGACACCAGGGGACACGGGGTCACTGTGTTCCTGGGAATGTCCCTGGCCCCAGTGACACTCCTGGCCCCAGTGGCACCCATGTCCCCCACAGTGATGTCCCCATAGTGCCCAAATCACCTGCCCCCCCCGCAGTGTCCCCACTGATGTCCCTGTCCATGTCCTTGTTCTGATCATGTCCCCATGGCGGCCATGTCCCTGGTGGCACCCTTGTCCCCAGCAGTGTCTGTGTCCCCTCATGGTGGCCATGTCTCCAGCAGTGCCATGTCCCCATCAGTGCCCATGTCCCCATGGTGCCCATTGGTCCCCATGGTTCCAATGTCCCCATTGGTCCCCATCAGTGCCCATGGGGACATCCCACTGGTCCCTGTGTCCCCATCAATGCCACGTCCCCATGTCCCCACAGTGTCCATGTCCCCATGGTGTCCATGTCCCCACTGGTCCCCATAGTTCCAATGTCCCCATGGTCCCCATGTCCCAACAGTGCCCATATCCCCATTGGTCCCCATGTCCCCACAGTACCCATGTCCCCATGGTTCCAATATCCCCACAGTGCCCATGTCCCCACAGTCCCCATGTCCCCATTGGTCCCCATGTCCCCACCAAAATCCACCCCATGCCCAGTGGCACCCCTGACGCGTCCCTTGTCCCTTGTCCCCAGAGCGAGGAGCCCGAGGGCCGCAGTTACTCCACGCTCTCCACGGTGCGGGAGATCGAGACGCAGACCGACGTCCCCGTCGTTGTCCCCGCTGTCCCCGCGGTGCCGCCGCCGCCCGGCGGGAAGGAGCCCAAGGAGGAGGAAGAGGAGGGTGGGGGCGGCGGGGGGGACCCCATCAAGGCGGCCATGACGCACTTTGTGCAGGAGAACGGGATGCTGCAGGCCAAGCCCAGCTCCAACGGCATCTACATCAACGGCCGCGGCCACCTGGTGTGAGCCGGGCCCCGGGGGGGACACCTGGGGACACCTGGGGACACCTGGGGACAGCCAGGGCACAGCCAGCCCCCGCCATGCCCACTCGGCTCTGTCCCCTCTGCTACGGTCCCCAAGTGTCACCTCCCTGCTGCTGTGGGGTCAAGATGGACTCTGGTCCCCAAGTGTCACCTCCCTGCTGCTGTGGGGCTGGGGACAAGGACAGTGCCCCAGGACTGTGTCACCTCCCTGCTGGTGTGGGGTCAAGGATGGATTTCAGTCCCCGGGTGTCACCTCCCTGCTGGTGTGGGGTCAAGATGGACACTGGTCCTTGGTGTCACCTCCCTGCTGGTGTGGGGCTGGGGACAGTGCCCCAGGACTGTGTCACCTCCCTGCTGGTGTGGGGACAGGGACAGTGCCCCAGAACTGTCACCTCCCTGCTGGTGTGGGGCTGGGGACAAGGACAGTGCCCCAGGACTGGCTGCGGTCCCCAGGCGTCACCTCCCTGCTGGCACATGGAGCTGGGGACACCACCAAGCCCCAGGACATTCTTCAGTCCCCAAGTGTCACCTTGGGGACACCACCGAGCTCAAGGACATTCTCCGGTCCCCAAGTGCCACCTCCCTGCTTCAGAGATGGACTCTGGTCCCCAAGTGTCACCTCCCTGCCATCACAGGCTTGGGGATGAGCTCCAGGAGAAGCTCCTGTCCCCAGGTGTCCCCTCCCTGCTGGTGTGGGGTCAGGGATGGACTCTGGTCCCCAGGTGCCATCTCCATGCTGTCACAGGATTGGGGACAAGCTCCTGTCCCCAGGTGCCACCTCCCTGCTGTCACAGCTTTGGGGACACCACCGAGCCCCAGGACAAGCTCCTGTCCCCAGGTGCCACCAACCATGGGCTGGGGACACTCGTGGTGACACCAGGGAGCCCCCGTGTCCCCCCAAACCCCCCGCCCCCCCCCCCCCCGGGCTGTGGTGGCACTGGGGGCAGCCGTGTCCCCTCTCCCTGGGCTGGGTGGCACTGGGGACAGCCGTGTCCCCTTTCCCATGGTGTGGTGGCACTGGGGACAGCCGTGTCCCCTCTCCCCGGGCTAGGTGGCACTGGGGACAGCCGTGTCCCCTCTCCCATGGTGTGGTGGCACTGGGGACAGCCGTGTCCCCTCTCCCTGGGCTGGGTGGCACTGGGGACAGCCGTGTCCCCTCTCCATGGGTTGGTGGCACTGGGGACAGCCGTGTCACCTTTCCCATGGTGTGGTGGCACTGGGGACAGCCGTGTCCCCTCTCCCATGGGGTGGTGGCACTGGGGACAGCCGTGTCCCCTCTCCCCGGGCTAGGTGGCACTGGGGACAGCCGTGTCCCCTCTCCCATGGTGTGGTGGCACTGGGGACAGCCGTGTCACCTTTCCCATGGTGTGGTGGCACTGGGGACAGCTGTGTCCCCTCTCCATGGGCTGGGTGGCACTGGGGACAGCTGTGTCCCTTTTCCCATGGGGTGGTGGCACTGGGGACAGCCGTGTCCCCTTTCCCATGGTGTGGTGGCACTGGGGACAGCCATGTCCCCTTTCCCATGGTGTGGTGGCACTGGGGACAGCCGTGTCCCCTCTCCCATGGGGTGGTGGCACTGGGGACAGCCGTGTCCCCTCTCCCGGGTGGGGGAGGGGCTGTACAGCCGTGTATAGACCCTGTAAATAAAGAACCCGCGGGACTGGGACCTGTGTGTGACACCTTGGGGACACTGGGGGGACAGCGAGACACGCGGGTGACACGGCAACACACAGGTGACACAGGTGACGTGGGTGACACGGGGATGGCATGGGTGACACCGAGACAGGCGGGTGACATGGGTAATGTGGGTGACATGGAGGTGACATGGGAGTGACACTGAGAGATGTGGGTGACACGGTAACACACAGGTGACACGGAGATGGCATGGGTGACACGGTGACCTGGGGGTGACACTGAGACGCACAGGTGACATGGGTGACACGGTGACATGTGGGTGACACAGAGACATGGGGGTGACACAGCAACACACAGGTGACACGGGGGTGACACTGAGACACGCAGGTGAGGCAGGTAATGTGGGTGACACAGGGGTGACCTGGGGGTGACACTGAGACACGCCGGTGACACGGGGGTGAGACAGGTGGCACACAGGTGACACTGAGACATGGAGGTGACATGCAGTTGGCACAGTGACACGCAGGTGATATATGGGTGACACAGGTGACACGGGGGTGACACTGGGGTGACACTGGGGGTGACACTGGGGGTGGCCTGGTGGAGTGGCTGGGGTGGGGCTAGGGGTGCAGGTGAGCTGGGGGGGAGGCAGGGGAGTGTGCAAGGGGGCGTGCAAGGATGTCCCCAGGTGTGCCCAGATGTCCCCAGGTGTCCCCAGGTGTGGTCAAATGCCCCCAGATGTGCCCGAATGATTCCAGGTGTGTCACGCACATTGGCCTGTCCCTGTCCCCAGGGCGCGTCCCTTGCACACTCAGGTGTCCCCAGGCCTGTCCCTCACACACTCAGGTGTCCCCAGGGCGTGCCCCTCACACACTCGGGTGTCCCCAGGCCTGTCCCTCGCACACTCAGGTGTCCCCAGGCCTGTCCCTCACACACTCAGGTGTCCCTCACACACTCAGGTGTCCCCAGGGTGCGTCCCTCGCACACTCAGGTGTCCCTCGCACACTCGGGTGTCCCCAGGGCATGCCCCTCGCACACTCAGGTGTCCCTCGCACACTCAGGTGTCCCCAGGGCATGCCCCTCGCACACTCAGGTGTCCCTCACACACTCAGGTGTCCCCAGGGCATGCCCCTCGCACACTCAGGTGTCCCTCGCACACTCAGGTGTCCCCAGGGCATGCCCCTCACACACTCAGGTGTCCCTCGCACACTCAGGTGTCCCCAGGGCGTGCCCCTCGCACACTCCCGTGTCCCCTGTCCCCAGGGCGTGCCCCTTGCACACGCGTGTGCGCAGGCGTCCCCGCCCTCGCTGTGGTTTCGCTGTGGCCGCGGGGAGCAGGAAGCGCCTCGAGCGCGGCCTCTGCCTTCCTGCCACCCCCGCGGGGACAGCGCCGGGACCCCCCTGGCGTGGCCCCCGCGTCCCCGGCCGTGTCCCCCGCGCTGTCCCCGGCCGTGTCCCCCGTGTCCCCATGTCCCTGGCGCTCAAGGCCCGGCAGCGGGCGAGGCGCAAGGGCGGCTCCCGGGAGCGGCTCTTCGGCTGCGACCTCCAAGAGCATCTCCAGCGCTCGGGGCAGGACGGTGAGTGCCACCACCCTGCCCGACCCCCCCCCGAGCCCCCCGGGGGCCACCAGGGCCACCGGGGCCACCCGGGGAAGCGGGGAAGGGGCCCCGGAGGGGACTCGGAGGGGACTTGCGCCACCCGTTGCGTCACCGGGGCTCCAGGAAGCGCCGTGGCCACCGGGGCTCGGCCGGGATTTGGGGGGGTTGGAGGTCGCTGGTGCTCCAATCTCAGGGGGGTTGGGCCTCAGGGGTGGCGGGGTCTGCGCCTTGGTTTTGGTGGCTCCATCCTTTGGGATTTGGTGGCCTCATCCTTTGGGATTTGGTGGCTCCATCCATTTGGATTTGGTGGCTTCATCCTGTGGGATTTGGTGATCTCATCACCATGGATTTGGTGGCTTCATCCTTTGGGATTTGGTGGCCTCATCCCCGCGGATTTGGTGGCCTCATCCCTGTGGATCTGGTGGCCCTGTTCCTCGGGATTTGGTGGCCTTATCCCCATGGATTTGGTGGCTCCGTCCTTTGGGATTTGGTGACTCTGTCCTTCTGGAGAGGGTGGCTCCATCCTTTGGAATGTGGTGGCCTCATCCTGGTGGAGTTGGTGTCCTCATTTCTTAGGATTTGGTGGCCTCATCCTTGCGGATTTGGTGGCCTCATCTCTGTGGGTTTGGTGGCTCCATCCTTTGGGATTTGGTGACTCTGTCCTTCTGGAGATGGTGGCCTCATCCCCGCGGATTTGGTGGCCTCATCCCTGTGGATTTGGTGGCCCTGGTCCTCAGGAGCTGGTGGCTCCATCCTTTGGGATGTGGTGGCCTCATCCTGGTGGAGTTGGTGGCCTCATTTATTGGGATTTGGTGGCCTCATCCTGTGGGGTTGGTGGCCCCATCCCTGTGGGTTTCGTGGCCTCATCCCTTGGGAACCAGTGACCCTGTGGGATCTGGGATCAGTGGGACCCTGTGGGATTTGGGATCACTGGGATCCCATGAGACGGGGCTCAGTGGGATCCCATGGGATCAGGGCTCACTGGGATCGGGTGTGATGGGGCTCACCGGGGCCCCGCGGGGCCGGGCCGTGTCCCGCAGTGCCGCAGGTGCTCCGGAGCTGCACGGAGTTCGTGGAGCAGCACGGGGTGGTCGATGGCATCTACCGCCTGTCCGGGGTGTCCTCCAACACACAGCGGCTGCGGTCAGCGGGACGGGGACGGGGACGGGATGGGACTGGGCATGGGAACAGGATTGGGATGGGATGGAATCAGTGGGATGGGATCAATGGGATGGGAATGGGATGGGATGAGATGGGATCGATGGGATGAGATCGATGGGATGGGATTGACGGGATCAGGATGAGATGGGATGGGATTGGGATCAGGATTGGGATGGGAATAGGATCGGGATGGGACAGGATTGGGGCAGGAATGGGGACAGGGCAGGGATCAAGATGGGATAGAATGGGGATGGGGATGGGATGGGATTGGGATCAGGATCGGGATGGGATGGGAATGGGATGGGATTGGGATTGGGATTGGGATCAGGGACAGGATGGGATGGGATCAATGAGATGGAATCGGGATTGAGATTGGGATCGGGGACAGGACGGGATGGGATGGGATGGGATGGGGGTGGAGTCTGGAGGATGCCGGGACTGAGAGGGTGGGAGGGAGGGGACAGGAGTGGGATGAGAAAAGGTGGAAGCAGGGATGGGACTGGACTCGGGCTGACGGGGACGGGGACGGGGATGGGTCCATCCTCCCTCCCCCAGCCCCTTCCCTTCCCCCATCCCACTCTGGCCCCTCTTCCCCTGCTCCTTTCCTTCCCTTTTTCCCTCTTTATTGCTTTTGGGGGTTTCCCTGCCCGTTCTCTTTCACTTTCCCTGGGGAAGTTTTTCCCTCCTCTGCTTCTTTCTCTGGGTGCTTTTCTCCCCTGTTCCTGGGGCAACCCAGAATTGCCCGGACCCCAATCCCATATTCCCATATCCCCAGTCCAAAATCCCAAATCCCAAAACCCCAAACCCCAAATCCCCACCCCAGGCAGGAGTTCGAGGCAGAGCTCAGCCCAGACCCCAATCCCAAACCCCAAATCCCCACCCCAGGCAGTTCAAGGTGCAGCTCAGCCTGGACCCCAAATCCCAAACCCCAATCCCATATCCCCAGTTGCAAACCCCAAAGCCCGATCCCAGGCAGGAGTCTGAGGCGCAGTTCAGCCCAGACCCCAAACCCCAATCCCCAAATCCCAATCCCCAATCCCCAAACCCCAATTCCCGATCCCAGGCAGGAGTCTGAGGCGCAGCTCAGCCCAGACCCCAATCCCAAATCCCAAACCCCAAACCCCAAACCCCAAACCCCAATTCCCGGTCCCAGGCAGGAGTTTGAGGCTCAGCGCAGCCCGGACCCCAATCCCAAATCCCAAACCCCAAACCCCAAACCCCAAACCCCAATTCCCGATCCCAGGCAGGAGTCTGAGGTGCAGCTCAGCCCAGACCCCAATCCCAAATCCCAAACCCCAAACCCCAAACCCCAATTCCCGATCCCAGGCAGGAGTTTGAGGCGCAGTGCAGCCCGGACCCCAACCCCAAACCCCAATTCCCGATCCCAGGCAGGAGTTTGAGGCGCAGCGCAGCCCGGACCTGTCGCGGGACATTTACCTGCAGGACGTTCACTGCGTCAGCTCCCTGTGCAAGGCCTACTGCCGCGAGCTGCCCAACCCCCTGCTCACCTACCAGCTCTACGACAAGTTCGCCGTGAGTCCCTGTCCCCACGTGTCCCCAGAGTGTCCCCAGAGTGTCCCCAGGGCGGTGGGTGGCCCCTGTCACTGCGCTGTCCCCACAGGATGCTGTGGCCATCCAGATGGAGGAGGCGCGGCTGGTGAAGATCAAGGAGGTGCTGAAGGAGCTGCCGGCGCCTCACTACAGGTGAGGGGGGTGGGGACATCCCCGGGGCGGTGTCCCCAGGGCGGTGGCACTGAGGCGTGGCACTGAGGTGTGACACTGAGGTGTGACACTGAGGCGTGGCACTGAGGCGTGACACTGAGGTGTGACACTGAGGCGTGGCGCTGAGGTGTGGCACTGAGGTGTGACGCTGAGGCGTGGCACTGATGTGTGACACTGAGGCGTGGCACTGAGGTGTGGCACTGAGGTGTGACACTGAGGTGTGGCGCTGAGGTGTGGCACTGAGTGTGGCACTGAGTGTGGCACTGAGGTGTGACACTGAGGTGTGACGCTGAGGCGTGGCACTGAGTGTGGCACTGAGGTGTGACACTGAGGTGTGACACTGAGGTGTGACACTGAGGTGTGACGCTGAGGTGTGGCACTGATGTGTGGCACTGAGTGTGACACTGAGTGTGACACTGAGGCGTGGCACTGAGTGTGACACTGAGTGTGACACTGAGATGTGACACTGAGGCGTGACACTGAGGTGTGACACTGAGGTGTGACACTGAGGTGTGACACTGAGTGTGACGCTGAGGTGTGGCGCTGTCGCAGGACGCTGGAGTTCCTGATGCGGCACCTGCTGCGCATGGCGGCGCACAGCGGGCGCACCAACATGCACGCCAGGAACCTGGCCATCGTCTGGGCACCCAACCTGCTGCGGTGAGGGGCACCTGGCACCTGGCAGTGCCACCTGGCACCTGTCGCTGTCACCTGGCACCTGTCGCTGTCACCTGTCGCTGTCCCTGTCAGTCCGGTCACTGCCAGCCCTGTAATTGTCAGCCCTGTCACACTCAGCCCTGTCACACTCAGCCCTGTCGCTGTCACCTGTTGCTGTCACCTGTCGCTGTCACTTGTCACTGCCAGCCCTGTCATTGTCACCCCTGCCTGCCCTGTCACCCTCAGCCCTGTCACCCTGAGCCCTGTCACTGTCACCTGTCACTATCACATCAGTCCTGTTACCCTCACTCCTTTGTCACCCTCAGTCTTGTCACACCCCTGTCACCGTCACCTGTCACCGTCACCATCAGTCCTGTCACCCTCAGCTCTGTCACTGTCACCCCTGTCACCCTCAGCTCTGTCACCCTCAGCTCTGTCACTGCCAATCCTGTCACTGTCACCCCTGTCACCCTCAGCCCCATCACCCTCCATCCCATGTGTCCCCTGCTGTCCCCTCACCTCGATGTTGACCCCACTGTCCCCGCTGTCCCCTCACCCTGAGGTGACCCCACTGTCCCCTCACCCCTGGTGACCCCACTGTCCCCACTGTCCCCTCACCCTGAGGTGACCCCGCTGTCCCCTCACCCCGAGGTGACCCCGCTGTCCCCACTGTCCCCTCACCCTGCGGTGACCCCGCTGTCCCCAGCTCGAGGGACATCGAGGCCTCGGGGTTCAACGGCACAGCGGCGTTCATGGAGGTGCGCGTGCAGTCCATCGTGGTGGAGTTCATCCTCACACACGTGGAGCAGCTCTTCGGGGACGCGCCGCTCCCAGGCAGGGACACCGCGGGGACACCGTGGGGACATCCTGGGGACACCGCAGGGACACTGTGGGATATCGGGGGGACACTGCGGGGACATTGGGGGGACAGCGTGGGGACACCACAGAGGCATCAGGGGGACACTGCGGGGACACCTTTTTGGGGTCTCCAGGTGGGGAGTCCCCCCTGACCTTGGGTGGGGGTCCCAAGGGGACATTGGGAGTCCCAGGGAACGTTAACGCCCCATTTTTGGGAGTCTCCAAGGTGGAGGTGACACATTTTGGGTCCCTGAGGTGACACTGTCAAACCTTTTGGGGTCTCAGGTGGGGACTGTCCCCATGTCACTCCCTGATACCAGGTTGGGGTCCCTGAAGTGACCCTGTCCCATTTGGGGTCCCAGGTTGGGGTCCCTGAGGTGACCCTGTCCCATTTGGGGTCCCTGAGGTGACCCTGTCCCATTTGGGGTCCCAGGTTGGGGTCCCCGAGGTGACCCTGTCCCATTTTGGGGTCCCTGAGGTGACCCTGTCCCATTTGGGGTCCCTGAGGTGACTCTGTCCCATTTGGGGTCCCTGAGGTGACCCTGTCCCGTTTTGGGGTCCCAGGTGGGGACAGTCCCCGTCGCTCGCTGCTCCTGCCCGGGGGTGTCCCCCCCCTGCACGTCCCGGCCGTGCTGAGCCAGGGCGATGGCCCCCCCCAGATGCGGCCCTACCACACCATCATCGAGCTCAGCGAGCACAGGTACGGCCACCCGCGGCCACCTGGGCACAGGTGACACCCCCAACCCACCCTGGGGACCCTCAGGGACCCCCCAACCCAACTCACTGCGACACAGGTGGCCCCAGGTGTGTTCAGGTGCCCCCCAGGTGTCCCTCAAGGTGTGTTCAGGTGCGCTCAGATGTCCATCAGGTGTGCCCAGGTGTATCCCAAGTGTCCCCAGGTATATCCCAGGTGTCCCCCAGGTGTGCCCAGGTGTATCCCAGGTACCCTCAGGTGTATCCCAGGTGCCCCCAGATATGTTCAGGTGTCCCCCAGGTGTGCCCAGGTGTATCCTAGGTATCCTCAGGTGCCCCCAGATGTGCCCAGGTGTAACCCAGGTGTCCCCAGATGTGTCCCAGGTGTATTCCAGGCACCCCTAGGCATGCCCAGGTATATCCCAGGTGCTCCCAGGTATATCCCAGGTGTGCCCAGGTGCCCTCAGGTGTGCCCAGGTATACCCCAGGTGCCCCCAGGTGTATCCCAGATGTGCCCAGATGTCTTCCAGGTATATCCCAAGTGCCCCCAGATGTGCCCAGGTGCCCCCAGGTGTATCCCAGGTATATCCCAGGTGCCCCCAGGTGTATCCCAGGTGCCCCCAGCTGTGCCCAGGTGTCCCCAGGTGCCCCCAGGTATATCCCAGGTGTCCCCAGGTGTATCCCAGGTGCCCCCCAGGTGTATCCCAGGTGTCCCCACAGGAGCAAGGGCTCCCTCAAGGCCAAGAAGTGGAGATCCATCTTCAACCTGGGCCGCTCCGGGCACGAGGCCAAGCGGAAATCGGGGAAGGCGGAGGAGAAAGGTGAGAATTCAGGGAGATCCCATGGACTGGGGGGGGCAGGGGGTGTGTCCCCAAATCCCCTCAAATCCCCCAAATCCCCTTCTCCTGCCCCATTCCCAGAGAAGTGTGGGAAGGTCACTCTGCGGCCGGCAAAGAGCATGGACTCGCTCAGCTCCGGACCGTCCGGTAAGGGGGGCCCTGTGTCCCCTGGGGATTGTCCCTCCAAACCCTCAGGAATTGTCCCTCTGTCCCCATGGGGATTGTCCCTCCGACCCCTGGGGATTGTCACTCTGTCCTCATAAGATTGTCCCTCCAAACCCTCAGGAATTGTCCCTCTGTCCCCTCAAGATTGTCTCTCTAATCCCTCAGGACCTGTCTCTGTCCCCTGGAGATTGTCCCTCTTTCCCCATGGGATTTTCCCTCTGACCCCTGGGATTGTCTCTCTGTCCTCTCAGGAATTGTCCCTCCAACCCCTTGGGACTGTCTGTCTGTCCCCTGGGGATTGTCCCTCTGACCCCTCGGGATTGTCCCTCCATCCCTTGCGATTGTCCCTCTGTCCTCATGGGACTGTCCCTCTGTCCCCTGGGGATTGTCTCTCTGACCCCTCAGGATTGTCCCTCTGTCCTCATGGGACTGTCCCTCTGTCCTCATGGGACTGTCCCTCTGTCCCCTGGGGATTGTCCCTCTGTCCCATGGGGATTGTCCCTCTGACCCCGCTCCCCGTGATCCCCCCGGCACCCCCGGTACCCCCCGGCCCCGCTCCGGACGCGCCCGTCCGCAGGCCCGGAGGCGGCGCGGTTGCTGCCGAAGCTGTCGGTGAAGCTGCGGCCGCAGCGGCAGCACAGCTCGGACGAGACCCCCGCGGCCCCGGAGCCGCCCCCGGAGCTGGACGAGAGCCTGGAGGAGCCGCTGGAAGCGGCGGCCGAGAGCAGCACCAAGTCGGAGCCCACCACCCCCAAAGCCCCGCGGCCGGGGCCGGGGGTCGGCGGCCGCTCCCGCGCCGAGAAATGCGCGGGGCTGCACATCTCGGGCCCCTTCTCGGTCACCGTCCCCTTCCACATCACCTCCAACCTGTCCCGCCTCACCCGCGGGCTCCCGTGCCCCGCGCTGGAACGGGAACAGAGCCCCGGCAGCGCCCCCGAGCCCGCCCCGGAGCCCCGGCCCCGCTCCGGTGAGACCCCGCGGTGGGGATCTCTGAGGGACCGCGGGGACACCGGGACTGGGGGGACACCGGGATTGGGGGGACACCGTGGTAGAAGGGACACCGGGATTGGGGGACACCGGGATTGGGGGGACACCAGGATCGGGGGCACATCGTGGTAGAAGGGACACCGGGATTGGGGGACACCAGGATTGGGGGCACATTGGGGTAGAGGGGACACCGGGATTGGGGGACACCGGGATTGGGGGGACACTGGGATCACGGGGACACTGAGAACGGGGACACCGGGATTGGGGGGACATTGGGATAAGGGGGATATAATGATTGGGGGACACTGGGATTAGGGAACATCAGGATCATTGGGACACCAGGATAGAGGGGACACTGGGATTGGGGGACACTGGGATAGAGGGGACGCTGGGATAGGGGAGATACTGAGATAAGGGGGACACCAGGATAGAGGGGACACCAGGATCTGTGGGGACACCGGGATCGGCGGGAGACCAGGATTGGGGGACACCACAATCACGGGGACACCGGGATCGGCGGGGACACCGGGATGGGGTGGGTGCCGGTACCGAGCGCTCCCAGCTCTCCCCGCAGAAGAAGCGGAGCAGACCCGGCTCTCCCTGGAGCTCCGCGACTCCTTCGCCTTCCTGGACGGCCCCGAGACGTGGCTGGAGGGCGGCGGGGACACGGAGGCGGCGGGGAGCCCCGGCACCGGGGATGAGACCTTCAGGATGGAGGATGGGACCCCCGGGATCGAGGATGGGACCCCCGGGATCGAGGATGAGACCCTTGGGATCGAGGAATGGACACTCGGGATCGAGGATGGGACCCCCGGGATCGGGGACGGGTTCCCGGCCCTGGAGGAAGGGATGGAGAGCGGGTTCATGAACGTGAGCAGCCGGTGGCATTCCCGGGATTTGGGGATGGGTGGGACTGGGGGAGGCGGGAGGGGTCAATGGGATTGGGGTGGGATGGGATCAATGGGATTGGGGTGGGATTGATGAGATCGATGGGATGGGATTGGGATGGGATGGGATTGGGATGGGATGGGATGGGATCAGTGGGATCAATGGAATTGGGGTGGGGTTGATGGGATGGGATCAATGGGATGGGAAGGGATCAATGGGATCAATGGGATCAATGGGATTGATGGGATGGGATCTATGGGGTGGGATGGGATCAATGGGATCAATGGAATTGGGGTGGGATTGATGGGATGGGATCAATGGGATGGGATGGGATCAATGAGATCAATGGGATCAATGGGATGGGATTGGGATGGGATCAATAGGATGGGATCAATGGGATCAATGGGATAGGATCAATGGGATCAGATCAATGAGATCAATGAGATGGGATCAATGGATCAATGGGATCATTGGGATGGGATCAATGGGTTGGGATGGGATCGATGGGATGGGATCAATGGGATCCATGGGATCCATGGGATGGGATCAATGGGATGGGATCAATGGGATCCATGGGATCCATGGGATGCGATCAGTGGGATGGGATGGGACGGACAGGGGGACACAGCGAACCCACCCGCGTTTCCCGGCGTGCCTGGGGGTCCCATCCATGTCCCCCCCCTCAGCCAGGTGAGTGCTGGGCGGAGCAGCCCGACAGTTACCTGTCCATCGAGGAGTGCACAGAGCAGGACATGTTCTTCCTGGCCCCCGGCGCCTCCGAGCCCGACTCCGACCCCGACGAAATCTTCCTGAGTGCCCACGACGAGCTCAGCCCCCTGGGGACCCCCGAGGGACCCCCGGGCGAGGGGACAGCCCTGGAGACCCTGGAGAACCCAGAGATCCTGGAGAGCCCAGAGATCCCGGAAATCCCGGAGATCCCAGAAATCCCAGAGATCCCAGAAATCCCAGGGACCCCAGAGATGTCAGAGACCCCAAAAATCCTGGAGATCCCTGAGATCCCAGAGAACCAAGAGATCCCAGAGATCCCAAAAATCCCGGAGATCCCAGAGATGTCAGAGACCCCAAAAATCCCAAAACTCCCGGAGATCCTGGAGAACCGAGAGATCCTGGAGATCCCAGACACCCCGGAGATCCCAAAGACCACAAAAATCCTAAAAGTCCTGGAGAACCTGGAGATCCCAGAGATCCCAGGGATCCCAGAGACCCCAAAAATCCTGGAGATGCCAGAGATCCTGGGGAGTCCAAAAGTCCTGGAGATCTCAGAGATCCCAAAAATCCCAAAAGTCCTGGAGATCCCAGAGATCCCGGAGACCCCCGAAATCCCAGGGATTCTGGCCCAAACACCCCCAGAAAAGGATGGTCCAGGATTGGGGGACCCCCCCCAGCACCCCCATGGGGAGGGGGCTGCAGAGGGAGACCCCAGCCCCAGGAGGGGGGTGTGGGGTGAGGGAGGAGGGCCTGGGGGTCCCGCTGGGAAAGGGGGTGCGGATGGAGCTGGATCCCAGCCCCTCATCCTGGGGGAGGGGGATCCCTGGGATTTAGGGGGGTCTCCTCCAGCCCCAGCCCTGGCTGAGCCCGCCCAAGAGCCCCCCAAGCCCCCAGCCCTGGGGTCTGTTCCCAGGGGGGTCCCAGACGGGGCTGGTGTCGCCCCCGGGACCACCCCAAGCTCCCCCTCTCCCCCTGCCCTGGCCCCCAAAAACCTGGAGCTGACCCAGGACGAGCCCCCCAAAAACCTGGGGACCCCCAGGCCCTCGGAGCTGATCCAGGATGGGTCCCCAAAACTGATCCGGGATGAGCCCCCCAAATCCCTGGAGCTGATTTGGGATGAGCCCCCCAAACCCCTGGAGCTGATCCACACTGATCCCCCCAAATCCCTGGAGCTCCCTGGACCCCTGGAGCCCCCAAAATCCCTGGAGCCGACTTGGGATGAGCCCCCAAAATCCCTGAAGCTGATCCAGGATGAGCCCCCCAGAATCTCAGAGCCCCCCAGACCCCTGGAGCCGATCTGGCATGAACCCCCCAAATCCTGGGACACCCCCAAATCCCTGGAGCCGATCTGGGGTGAGCCCCCCAGACCCCTGAATGTGATCCAGGATGGTGCCCCCCAATCCCGGGACCCCTCTGGACCCCCAAATCTGATCTGGGACAGGTGCCCCAAATCCCTGGAGCCGATCCTGGCCGAGGCCCCCAAATCCTGGGACACCCCCAGACCCCTGGAGCCGATCCTGGCCGAGGCCCCCAAATCCTGGGACACCCCCAGACCCCTGGAGCCGATCCTGGCCGAGGCCCCCAAATCCTGGGACACCCCGGTACCCCCCAAATCCGACCTGGGACGGGCGCCCCAAATCCCTGGGGCTGCTCCTGGCCGAGCCCCCCAAATCCCAGGACCCCCCGGGACCCCCAGATCCGATCCGGGACGGGCGCCCCAAATCCCTGGGGCTTCTCCCAGACCCCCCCCGCAGCTCCCGCCGCCCCCTCCCCATTTTGGGGGCGCGGGTGATGCTGGCCCGGGCCGTGCCCGTGGTGCCCCCCAAACCCCACTTTGCCCGTGCCCTCCCGGGACCCCCGGGAACCCCCCAAATCCCCCTGGGAACCCCAAAATTTCCCCCGGCACCGCCAGGGACCCCCCCAAATACACCTGGAACCCCCCCAGATCCCCTTGGGACCCTCCCAAATCCCCCTGGGACCCCCCCAGGTCCCCCCGGGACCCCCTGGCAGCCCTGGGGGGGGGCGAGCGCTGAGCGTGGGCAGGGCCCCCCCAGAGCAGAGTGCAAATAAATAATGATAAAGTGAGAATGAAATTATAATGAAATGATAATAATAAAAATACCAAGGTGAGAATTCCAGCGTCAGAGATGCTGGTGGGTTGTTGGTGCTTATTTATAGATTTTATTTTATTTTTTATTTAAATTGAATTTTATAGTTTTAAATTTAATTTAAGATTTTATTTTACTTTATTTGAATTTAAATTTTAATATTTATTTTAAAAATATTTTTATTAATTTATTTATTTTAAAAATTATTATTATTTTAAATTTTTTTAATTTAGAAACATTGGGGACATAGGACATGAGGACCTTTGGGGACACTGGGACAGGGAGACATGGGGACATTGTGACATGAGGTCATTTGGGGACACTGGGACAGGGGGACATGGGGACATTGGGACACAGGGACAGGAGAACACGTGGCTGTGGGCACCTGGGCACACAGACACAAAGGAACATGAGGACAGAGACCCACGGGGACAGGGGGACACCGAGGTGACGCTGAGGCCATACAAGGCCAGCCACAAACCCCGGCCTTTGTTTACACCGCCGCCATCTTTGCCTCAACATGGCGGCGCCCTCAGCGGCCTCACCACGGGGGTGGCCCGGGCTCTCCGAGCTCATCCCCCAAACCCCTCCGGTACCGACGGGTGGGGCGGGGATCCCTCACCCTTGGCAGTGCCCGGTCCTTTCCCCACGCCGCCATCGCGGCCCTCACCGAGCGCCACCCACTTCCAACATGGAGCCGCCCTCACCCAAGATGGCGGCGGGGCAGCGGAAGCGCCGCGCGCCTTCGCCGTCTAAGATGGCGCCGCCCGCAGCCGCCGCGCGCTAAGATGGCGCCCGGCCGTGAGGGCGGCCCTGCCCGGCGCCAAGATGGCGGCGCGGCGCTGCGGCGCGGCGCCCCGGCCCAAGATGGCGGCGCGAAGCCGGGCTGGGGCCGCGTGAGGGGGGAACTTCCGCCCGAGCCCAAGATGGCGGCGCGGCGGCGCCGTGCGCATGTGCGGGGCCCATGGCGAGACAAGGGGCCGAAGGCGCGCAGGGCCCGAGGCCGAGAGGTACCGGGGGGGCCTGGGCGGCCCCGGGGGGCGAACCCCGCCGGGAACGGCGGCACCGCGGCCCCGGCACAGCCCCGGCGGCGGGGGGGGAGCGGCCGCGCCCGCCGGGCCCGCGGGGAGGGGCGGGGGGGGGGCGGCGGGGGTGACCCCCCCTCAGGCGCGCGCGGCGGGGTGTCACTGTCACCCCCCGGTGCTGTCCCCTCCCCCCCGCTCGGTAACCACCCCCCCCCGTGTGTCGGTGTCACCGCCGTGAGTGTCGCCACCCCCCCCCACCCCCCCCACTTTGTCACCGTTTGCGTGGGTCCCGTCCCCACCCCCCCGCCGTGGCAGTGGCGCCCCCGTTGTGGACCCTCCCCCACTTTGTCACCCTTTTTGTGTCGCCTCCCCCCCCTCTGTCCGCCCCCCTCCCCGTGTGTGTGTCCCCCTTATGTCGCTGTCACCCCTCTGTTTGTCACCCCCCCCTCCGTGTCTGTCCCCTCCCCCCGTGTCACCCCCCCCCCCCGTGTCACCCCCCTTTGTGTGTCCCCACTCTGTCACCCCCTTCCTGCCCCCCCAGCTCTGTCACTGTCACCCCCCTCCGGTTTTGTCACTCCCCCACCTTGTGTCTCTCCCTGGCTCTGTCACTGTCACCCCCTCCTTGTGTCCCCCCCCTCCACCGTCACTGTCACCCCACTGAATGTCCCTCCCCGGTCCTTGTCCCTCTGGGTGTGTCACTGTCACCCCCTCATCCCTGTCCCCCATCTGTCACCCCCCTTTCAGTGACCCCCAGTTTGTCACCTCCTGGTGTCCCCCCCATTTCCCCATCCCGGGGGAGGTGACAAGGGACAGTCGTCCCCCCCCCCCGGTGTGATACTGGGGTGCCCGTGGTGTCACTGCTTGGGGTGACACTGGGGACACACAGGGGGAGGTTACGGCCACCTTGGGGTGACCCAAAGTGCCACCCTGGGCGAGCTGGTGGCTTTGGGGACACGTTGTCACCTGGGGGGGAAGGGGGCAGTGAGGGGGCACCTGGAGGTGTGGCTGTGGTCACAGGTGGTGGCCACTGTCCCATCATGGTGGCCAGGTCCCCATTGGTGTCAGGTCACCATGGCCACTGTCCCATGATGGTGGCCAATGTCTGGTCAGGATGGCCGGTGACCTGTCCCAGCGTCCTGTCTCAGTGTCCCATCCCAGTGTCCCATCCCAGTGGTCCCATCCATGTCCTGTCCTGGTCCTGTCCCAGCTCCTGTCCCCATCCCTGACCTCCTGTGACCCCCATGTCCCTGTGCCATCCCCATCCCTGTGTCCCTGTCACCATCCCTTGTCCCTGTATCCCCATCTCTGTCCCCATCCTGTGTCCATGTCCTGTCCCTGACCCCCCTTGTCCCTGTCCCCATCCCTGTCCTGTCCCCATCCCCATGCTCCTGTCCTGTCCCTGACCCCAGTGTCCCCATATCCTGGTGTCCCTGTGTCCCAGTGTCCCTGTGTCCCTGACCCCAGTGTCCCTGACCCTGCTGTCCCTGTGTCCCAGTCCCTGTCTCCCAACATCCTGACCCTGCTGTCCCTCACCCTGATGTCCCTAGTGTCCCACTGTCCCCGTGTCCCACTGTCCCCCATGTCATGCTGTCCCTGACCCTTCTGTCCCTGTGTTCTGGTGTCCCTGACCCCACTGTCCCTGTGTCCCCACTGTGTCCCCACGTCCCCGCTGTCCCCACGTCCCTGCTGTCCCCCACGTCCCGTGTCCCTGACCCCACTGTCCCTGTGTCCCTGCTGTCCCCATGTTCCTGCTGTCCCCATGTTCCTGCTGTCCCCACGTCCCCACGTCCCTGTCCCCACGTTCCTGTGTCCCGGCTGTCCCCATGTCCCTGCTGTCCCCACGTCCCCGTGTCCCTGTCCCCGCAGGGCTCTGAAGGCCGTGAGGCTGCTCCGCTCCCGCCCCGCTGATGCCCGAGGGAGCCGAGCCATGAAGGGGTGAGTGAGACCCCAAAACCCACCTGGGACCCCCAAAACCCACCTGGGACCCCAAAACCTGCTCTGGAACCCCAAAACCTGCTCTGGGAACCCCAGAATTCACCTGGGACCCTCAAAACCCATCTGGGACCCCCAAAACCTACCTGGATCCCAAACCTCTCACCCGGGGTCCCCAAAATCTCACCTGAGACCCCAAAACCTGGTCTAGGACACCAACATCTCCTCTGGAACCCCAAAACTCACCTGGGACCCCCAACATCTGCTCTAGGAACCCCCCAAGATGACATGGAACCCCAAAATGGCCCCAAAACCCCCCAAATCTGACCCAGGACCCCAAATCTTTGACCTGGGACCCCCCAAAGTGCCCCAGGATCTCCAAATCACATCTGGGACCCCCCTAAAACTGCAACAAAGATCCCCCCCAAATCTGATCTGGAACCCCAAAATAACCCAAAGACCCCCCAAAACTGCCCCATGGGTGGGGCACACGAGGGGTGGGGGATTTGGGGGTATCCCAGATTTGGGGTTTGGGGGTTTTGGGGGGCTCAGGGACCACCCCCCCCCCCCCCCACTGTTTTGTTCCCCCCTCCCAGGCAGCAAAAAGCAGCTGAGACCGAGGAGGGGACGGTGCAGATCCAGGAAGGTGAGGGGGGACCCCGAAATTGGGGTTTGGGGGGGGGATTTGGGGAGGTCTTGGGGTGGATTTGGGGAGGTTTGGGGGTTTTTTTTGGGGGGGAATTTGAGAAGGTTTTTGGGAGGTTTTGTGTCCCGCCCAATCCCGTATCCCCCCTCAGTTTGGGGTGCCCCCTCCTCAATTTGGGGTGTGTCCCCCACTCCCCAAATTGGGGGGTCCCCTCCCCGGTTTGGATGCCCCTCCCCAGTTTGGGGAACCCCCTCCCCAGTTTGGGGTTCCACCACTCCAGTTTGGGTGCTCCCCACAGTTTGGGGTGCCCCTCCCCAATCCCATGTCCCCCTCCCCAATTTGGGTACCCCCTCCCCAATCCTGTATACCCCCAGTTTTGGATTTTCCCTTCCCAGTTTGGGGTTCCCCTCCCCAGTTTAGGGTGCCCACTCCACTTTGGGTTCCCCCTCCCCAGTTTGGGATTTTCCCTCTCCGGTTTGGGGTTCCCCCCTCCCCAGTCCCGTGTTCCCCCCCGTCCCCAGGCTCGGTGGCCACGGGCGAGGACCCCACGAGCGTGGCCATCGCCAGCATCCAATCGGCCGCCACCTTCCCCGACCCCGGCGTCAAGTATGTGTTCAGGACCGAGGGCGGCGGCACGCAGGTACACGCCTGGCACACCTGGGGACACCTGGGTACACCTGGGGGCACCTGGGGGCACCTGGGATACACCTGGGGGGGCTTGGATACACCTGGGATACACCTGGGGGCACCTGGGTACACCTGGAGTACACCTGGGCACACCCGCGATACACCCGGGGGGGCTTGGGGGCACCTGGGATACACCTGGGGTACACGTGGGTACACCTGGAGTACACCTGGGATACACCTGGAGGGGCTTGGGGGCACCTGGGATACACCTGGAGTACACCTGGGCACACCTGGGATACTCCTGGGATACACCTGGGGATTCACCTAGGCACACCTAGGAGCACCGGAGTACACCTGGAGTACACCTGGGCACACCTGGAGTACACCTGGGCACACCTGGTGGGGCTTGGATATACCTGGGATACACCTGGGGCACACCTGGGAGGCACCTAAGATACACCTGGCATACACCTGGGCACACCTGCAGTACACCTGGGCACACCTGGAGTACACCTGGGCACACCTGGTGGGGCTTGGATACACCTGGGGACACCTGGGGGACACTGTGGGGTGGCTCTGGGGAGGTTTCTGTATCACACCTGTGTGAGGTGCCCCACCCGTCCCAGGTGATCCAGGTGGTGACACTGGGTGGCTCTGGGGGGTCTCTGTGTCTCACCTGTGTGCTGTCCCACCTGTGGCAGGTGATCCAGGTGGTGACACTGGGTGGCTCTGGGGGGGTCTCTGTGTCTCACCTGTGGCAGGTGATCCAGGTGGTGACACTGGGTGGCTCTGGGGGTCTCTGTGTCTCACCTGTGTGCTGTCCCACCTGTGCCAGGTGATCCAGGTGGTGGCTCTGGGGGTCTCTGTGTCTCACCTGTGTGCTGTCCCACCTGTGGCAGGTGATGTACCGGGTGATCCAGGTGGCTGACGGGCAGCTGGACGCGCAGACCGAGGGCACCAGCGCCATCAGCGGCTACCCGGCCACGCAGTCCATGACACAGGTGCGTCACCTGGCCACGCCCACGGCCACACCCACTGTCCCCACCCCACCTGTGCCCCACACAGTGCATGGCCCAGGTGTGTTGTAGTGCCACGCCCACTGCCACACCCCCTGCCATGGCCTGGGCCTCACCTGTGCCCCCACCCAGGTGGTGACCTGGCTGTGCCATGGGGCAGGGTGACACCTGTGTCCTGTCCTTCACCTGTATCCCCCCATCTCACCTGTCTCTCCTCTGTCCCACCTGTCCCACCTGTGTCCTTTACCTGTGTACCTCACCTGTGTCCTGCTGGACTCACCTATCCCACACCTGTCCCCCTGTCCCACCTGTGTCCCACCTCCCTCACCTATGTCCCTCACCTGTCCTACACCTGTCCCCCTGTCCCATCTGTGCCACCTGTGTCGCACCTCCCTTACCCATGTCCCTCACCTGTCCCACACCTGTCCCACACTTGTCCTACCTGTCCCCCCTCACCTGTTCCTCACCTGTCCCCTGTATTCCACACCTGTCCCACCTGTGTCTCACCTGTGTCCCTCACCTGTCCCACCTGTGTCCCTCACCTGTCCCACCTGTGTCCATTACTTGTCCCACCTGTGCCCCACCTGTGTCCCTCACTTGTCCCCCACCTGTGTCCATTACTTGTCCCACCTGTGCCCCACCTGTGTCTCTCACCTGTCCCACCTGTGTCCCTCACCTGTGTCCCACCTGTGTCCTACCTGTGTCCCACCTGTGTCCCACCTATGTCACTCACCTGTCCCTCCTCTGTCCCTCACCTGTCCCTCGCTGTCCCCAGGCGGTGATCCAGGGCGCGTTCACGAGCGAGGAGCAGGTGGACTCGGAGGCGGCTCCCAGCGAGACTCACTACACCTACTTCCCCGCGGCAGGTGTGGCCGACGGCGCCGCCGCCACCGCCGCCACCCGCCGCCACCGCCGTGGTGACCACGCAGAGCTCCGAGGCGCTGCTGGGACAGCCCACGCCCACAGGTGAGCACCTGGCCGGAAAGGGCTCACCTGGGTGGGTTTGGGGGCACCTGGGTGGGTTTGGGGGCACCTGGATTGGGTTTGGGGGCACCTGGGTGGGTTTGGGGCTCACCTGGGTGGGTTTGGGGGCACCTGGATTGGGTTTGGGGGCACCTGGGTGGGTTTGGGCTCACCTGGATTGGGTTTGGGGCTCACCTGGCTGGGTTTGGGGGCACCTGGGTGGGTTTGGGAGCACCTGGGTGGGTTTGGGGCTCACCTGGGTGGGTTGGGGGCACCTGGGTGGGTTTGGGGCTCACCTGGATTGGGTTTGGGGGCACCTGGATTGGGTTAGGACTCACCTGGATGGGTTTGGGGGCACCTGAACTGAAATGAGGTTCACCTGGGTGGGTTTGGGGATGTCTGGATAGGGTTTGGGGTCACTTGGGTGGGTTTGGGGTCATCTGGGTTGGGACTCACCTGGATTGGGTTTGGGGCTCACCTGGGTGGGTTTGGGGTCACCTGGGTTGGGTTGGGATCATGTGGATGTGTTTGGGTCTCACCTGTGGCTCTGGGCTCCAGGGCAGTTTTTTGTGATGATGTCACCACAGGAGGTGCTCCCGGGGGGGGCCCAGCGCTCCATCGCCCCCCGAGCACACCCCTACTCCCCGTGAGTACCTGGGCACACCTGGGGGCACCTGGGACACACCTGGGACACACCTGGGACACGCCCAGGTCACACTGGGACACGCCCAGACACACCCATGGTCACACCTGGACACACTGGGACATACCCAAACACACCTGGATGTGCTGGGGTACACCTGGGACATACATGGAGACACCTTGACACACCTGGGTGACATCCAAACACACCTGGGGCACACCTGGGACACGCTTAAAACACATCTGGACCTGTTGGAGCACACCTGGGCAGGCATGGGGACACCTGGGCACACCCAGGACACACCTGGGACATGCCCAAACACACCTGTGCCCACCTGTGCCCACCTGTGCCCACCTGTGCCCCTCCCCAGGAAGTCGGAGGCTCCTCGAGCCACGCGGGACGAGAAGCGCCGGGCACAGCACAACGAAGGTACCGGGGCGGGGGACCCCAATCCCAAAGGGACACCCCAGTTCCCAGTGCCCCATTCCCACCTGGAATTCCTGTTCCCATTCCCCGTTCCCAGTTCCATTCCCACTGTCCCACTGGGAACCCCCGTTCCCATTCCCACTGGGAATTCCCAATCCCTTTCCCCAATCCCAATCCTACTGGGAATCCCAATCCCACTGGGAATCCCCGTTCCCATTCCCTGTTCCCATTCCCTGTTCCCATTCCCCACTCCCAATCCGATTCCTGTTGGGAATCCTGTTCCCAATCCCCGTTCCCAATCCCAATCCCACTGGGAATCCCCATTCCCATTGGGAATCCCCGTTCCCAATTCCCATTCCCGTTCCCATTTCCACCAGGAATCCCATTCCTGATCCCCATTCCCAATCCCATTTCCACCGGGAATCCCCATTCCCATTCCATGTTTGCATTCCCATTGGGAATCCCCATTTCTGATTCCCCCATTCCCATTCCTATTCCCACCAGAAATCCCGTTCCCATTCCCATTGGGAATCCCCATTCCTGTTCCCATTCCCTGTTCCCAATCCCCATTCCTACTGGGAATCCCGTTCCCAATCCCCCTGGGAATCCCCGTTCTCAATCCCATTTGGAATCCTTGTTCCCAATCCCCATTCCCAATCCCCATCCCACTGGGAATCCCCATTCCCATTCCCCGTTCCCAGTCCCTTTGGGAATGCCCGTTCCTGGTTCCCAATCCCATTCCCAGTTCCCCCATTCCCATTCCCCGTTCCCAGTCCCTTTGGGAATGCCCGTTCCTGGTTCCCAATCCCAATCCCAGTTCCCCCATTCCCCATTCCCAGTCCCTTTGGGAATGCCCGTTCCTGGTTCCCAATCCCAATCCCAGTTCCCCCATTCCCATTCCCCGTTCCCAGTCCCTTTGGGAATGCCCGTTCCTGGTTCCCAATCCCAATCCCAGTTCCCCCAATCCCAATCCCACTGGGAATCCCGGTTTCAGTGGAGCGCCGGCGCCGGGACAAGATCAACAACTGGATCGTGCAGCTGTCCAAGATCATCCCTGACTGCTCCATGGAGAACACCAAATCCGGACAGGTCCATGACTTGGGGATTATTTGGGATTGTTTGGGGTTTTTTTGGGATTGTTTGGGGCCCCAGCAGTGACCCCCAAACCCCACAGAGCAAGGGCGGGATCCTGTCCAAGGCCTGCGACTACATCCAGGAGCTGCGGCAGAGCAACCTGCGGCTGAGCGAGGAGCTGCAGGGCCTGGACCAGCTGCAGATGGACAACGAGGTGCTGCGCCAGCAGGTCAGACTGGGAGCACTGGGAGGGACTGGGAATGGGACTGGGAATGGGATCGGGGTCATGGGAATGGGGCTGGGATGGGATCGGGGTCATTGGGATCGATGGGATGGGGCTGGGATGGATGGGCCTGGAGCAGCTGCAGATGGACAATGAGGTGCTGCGCCAGCAGGTCAGACTGGGAGCAACTGGGAGGGACTGGGAATGGGGCTGGGAATGGGAGTGGGGTCATGGGAATGGGGCTGGGATGGGACTGGGGTCATGGGAATGGGGCTGGGATGGGATCGGGGTCATGGGAATGGGGCTGGAATGGCATTGGGGTCATTGGGATGGCATTGGGGTCATTGGGATGGGATTGGGGTCATTGGGATGGCATTGAGATCAACTGGGATTGAGATCAATGGGCCTGGAGCAGCTGCAGATGGACAATGAGGTGCTGCACCAGCAGGTCAGACTGGGAGCAACTGGGAGGGACTGGGAATGGGGCTGGAATGGGATCGGGGTCATGGGAATGGGGCTGGGATGGGATTGGAGTCATTGGGATGGCATTGGGGTCATTGGGATGGGATTGAGATCAACTGGGATTGAGATCGATGGGCCTGGAGCAGCTGCAGATGGACAATGAGGTGCTGCGCCAGCAGGTCAGACTGGGAGAACTGGGAGGGACTGGGAATGGGATTGGGATGGGGTTGGGGTCATGAGAATGGGGCTGGGATGGGATTGGGGTCATTGGGATGGCATTGAGATCAACTGGGATTGAGATCAATGGGCCTGGAGCAGCTGCAGATGGACAGCGAGGTGCTGCGCCAGCAGGTCAGACTGGGAGCACTGGGAGGGAACTGGGAATGGGATTGGGAATGGGACTGGGATGGATCGGGGTCATGGGAATGGGGCTGGGATGGGATCGGGGTCATTGGGATCGATGGGATGGGGCTGGGATGGATGGGCCTGGACCAGCTGCAGATGGACAACGAGGTGCTGCGCCAGCAGGTCAGACTGGGAGCGCTGGGAGGGACTGGGATAGACTGGGAATGGGACTGGGATGGGATTGGGGTCATTGGGATGGGATTGGGGTCATTGGGATGGCATTGAGATCAACTGGGATTGAGATCGATGGGCCTGGAGCAGCTGCAGATGGATGAGGGTGCTGCACCAGCAGGTCAGACTGGGAGCAACTGGGAGGGACTGGGAATGGGGCTGGAATGGGATCGGGGTCATGGGAATGGGACTGGGATGGGATTGGGGTCATGGGAATGGGATTGGGATGGGGTTGGGGTCATTGGGATGGGATTGGAGTTGTTGGGATGGGATTGAGATCAACTGGGATTGAGATCAATGGGCCTGGAGCAGCTGCAGATGGACAGCGAGGTGCTGCGCCAGCAGGTCAGACTGGGAGCACTGGGAGGGACTGGGATAGACTGGGAATGGGATTGGGGTCATGGGAATGGGGCTGGAATGGGATCGGAGTCATTGGGATGGGATTGGGGTCATTGGGATGGGATTGGGGTCATTGGGATGGCATTGAGATCAACTGGGATTGAGATCAATGGGCCTGGAGCAGCTGCAGATGGACAATGAGGTGCTGCGCCAGCAGGTCAGACTGGGAGCACTGGGAGGGACTGGGAATGGGATTGGGATGGGATTGGGGTCATGGGAATGGGGCTGGGATGGGATCGGGGTCATTGGGATCGATGGGATGGGGCTGGGATGGATGGGCCTGGAGCAGCTGCAGATGGACAACGAGGTGCTGCACCAGCAGGTCAGACTGGGAGCACTGGGAGGGACTGGGGAGCACTGGGATGGGGACTGGGGGATGTTTTTGGGGTGCAGGGGGATATTTTGGGGTCACTGGGTGATATTTTGGGGTGCCTGACCCCCCCTAAATGCAGGTGGAGGAGCTGAAGAACAAGAACCTGCTGGTTTGGGTTACTGGGCTGTACTGGGAGTGCACTGGGGGATATTTTAGGGTCTTGGGTGATATTTTGGGGTGCAGAGGGATATTTTGGGGTCACTGGGGGATGTTTTGGGGTCCTGGGTGATATTTTGGGGTCACTGGATGATATTTTGGGGTCACTGGGGGATGTTTTGGGGTCACTGGGGGAGGTTTTGGGGGTCCTGGGTGATATTTTAGGGTCCTGGGTGATATTTTGGGGTACAGAGGATATTTTGGGGTCACTGGGGGATGTTTTGGGGTCACTGGGGGATGTTTTGGGGTGCAGGGGATATTTTAGGGTCCTGGGTGATATTTTAGGGTCCTGGCTGATATTTGGGGGTCACTGGGGGATGTTTTGGGGTCCCCAAACGCAGGTGGAGGAGCTGAAGAACAAGATCCTGCTGGTTTGAGTTACTGGGAGTTACTGGGCTATACTGGGAACACTGGGAGTGCACTGGGGGATATTTTAGGGTCTTGAGTGATATTTTGGGGTACAGAGGATATTTTGGGGTCACTGGGGGATGTTTTGGGGTCACTGGGGGATGTTTTGGGGTCCTGGGTGATATTTTAGGGTCACTGGGTGATATTTTAGGGTCCTGGGTGATATTTTGGGGTACAGAGGATATTTTGGGGTCACTGGGGGATGTTTTGGGGTCCCCAAACGCAGGTGGAGGAGCTGAAGAACAAGAACCTCCTGCTGCGGGCGCAGCTGCGCCAGCACGGGCTGGAGATCGTCATCAAAAACGACACCCACTGACCCCAAAAACCCCAAAACTCACCCCAAAAATCCACCCAACACCCCCCCCGCCCCCCCCCTCCCCTGCACCCCAAAAACCCCCCGGGACCCCTCCCCCACCCCCGCAGCCCCTCCCCCCCCGCGCTCGGTTCTGCCCCTCCCCTCCCCCAATCATGTGACCTCGCCCCCTCCCCCAAATCCCCCCAAAATCACCCCAAAAGTCGCCCCCCGCACCCCAAAATTCGCCCCCCACGCTCTCGGCCCGGCGGGCCCCTCCCCCACCCCACCCCCTACCATTTTGGGACCCCCCCCCCCCCTCCACCCCCTCCTTAAAATTTGGGGCCCCTCCCCTTCCCCCCCCCCTCCAAAAATGGGATTTGGGGTCGCCCCTCCCCCCCCTACCCCGCGGCCCCCGGGGGGGTTTTGGGATTTTGGGGGGGGGGAGGGGATTTTGGGGGGGGGGGTTGGGACCCTCACGCCCCCTCCCCCCCCCACCCCCCCCTTTTTGCCCCTCCCCCCTCCCTTTCCCCTCCCCCCTCCCCCCTCCCCCCGCGGGGTTTTGGGATTTTTTTTTTTTTTTTAAACTCTCGGAATTGCAAAAAAAACAACAAAAAAAAACCCCAAAAAGAAAAAAAAAAATAATTCCAGGCTTAAAAAGAAAAAACCAAAAAAAAAAAAAACAAAGAAAAAAAAAAAAAGAAATAAAAAACAGGGATTTGTTTTTTTTAGGGTCCTTAAGGTTCTTCCCAGAGCCCATCCCCACCCCAAAGGGACCCCAAAACTCCCAAAGGGACCCTAAAATCACCTAAAACCCAGAAAGTGACCCTAAAACCCCAAAAGCGACCCCTAAAACTCCCAAAATCTCCTAAAACCATTTAAGGGACCCTGAAACTCCCAAAGGAACCCCGGAATTCCCTGAAACGCCCAAAGAGACCCCAAAATCCTCCTGAAAGGGCCAAAGGGAGCCTAAAACCCCAAAAGGGACCCCAAAATCCCCCTGAATTCCTTCCAGGAACCCAAAATGCCCCTGAAAACCCCAAAGGGATTTCCCAAAAATCCCCTAAATCCTCTAAAACCTCAAAGGGACCCCAAAATCCCCTAAAACCCCCAAAGGGACCCCAAAACCTTCAAAGGGAGCCCAAAATCCCCAAAAGGACCCCAAAATTCCCTAAAACTCCCTAAGAGACCCCAAAATCCCCAAAGGGACCCCAAAACTGTCCTGAAACCCCAAAAGAGACCCCGAAATTCTCCCAAATTCTTTCAGGGACCCCAAAATCCCCTTGAAAACCCCAAAGGGACCCCAAAACCCCCCAGGAGCTTCATCCCCCCCCCCTTTAGTGCCGCCACTGTGGGGGGACTGGGCCAAACTGGGGGGCACTGGTTTGTACTGGGGGGGTCACTGGTCCAAACTGGTCCAGACTGGGAACCCTGGGTGGTCACTGGAGGTCACTGGGGTTGACCATGGGGGTCACTGGTTTGTACTGGGGGGGGTCACTGGGGGTCAGTGTGGGGTCACTGGTCCCAACTGGTCCAAACTGGGAGCTCTGGGTGGTTACTGGGAGGGTACTGGAGGTCACTGGGGGGCACTGGTCTGAACTGGGAGCCCTGGGTGGTTACTGGTGGTCACTGGGCGGGGTCACTGGGGGGCACTGGTCCCAACTGGGGGTCACTGGGTGGGGTCACTGGTGGCCACTGGGGGGCACTGGTCCCAACTGGTCCCAACTGGGAGCCCTGGGCGGGGTCACTGGTCCCAACTGGTCCCAACTGGTCCGGACTGGGAGCCCCTCCCGGGCCCTCAGCGCCCCCCACCGGCCGAAGCCGCGCGGTCTCCACGGCAACGCCAGGCCCCGCCCCTCGCGCGCTCCCATTGGCCAGAAGTTCCAGCGCTCTCTCCCATTGGCCGCCGCTCCCCGCCCTCCCCTTTAACCAATCAAACCACGCGGGCGGCACCGCGCGGACCAATCAGCGCGCGCCGCTTTGAACCGATAGGCGGGACAACCAATAAGAGCGCGGAGGGGGCGTGGCCCCCGCGGCACCTGGCGGGGTGGGCGTGGCCTGGGTGGGGCAGGGGCGGGGTTTGGCGGGGCGGGGGCGGGGCGGGCGCACCTGGAGCGGGGCGGCGGCGGCGCCATGGCGGGAGCGGAGCGGGGGCAGCCCCGGGGACACCGGGGACAGCGGGGACAGCCCCGGGGCCAGCGCTGGGGAGCGCCCGGGGCGGGGCTGCGGCTGCTGCTGCTGCTGGGGGGGCTCGGTGAGTGCGGGGGGGGGGCTCGGGGGCTCCGGGAACCGGGGGGGACCGGGGGGACCGGGGGGACCGGGGGCTCCGGGAAGCGGGGGAGGGGCGGGAATTGGGGAGGGGGTTCGGGAACTGGTGGGGGGGGGGCAGGGAACCGGGGGGACCGGGGGGGGGGGGGACGGGAACTGGGGAGGGGGGAGGGTGAAAGCGGAGGAGGGGCGGGAATTGGGGAGGGGGCTCGGGAAGTGGTGGGGGAGGGGGCTTGGAGAAGCGGGAGTGGGAGGGGAACGGGAATTGGGGAAGGGGGGAAGGGGAACCGGGGGAGGGCGGGAAATTGGGGAGGGGGCTCCGGGAACCGGGGGGGCTCAGGAAACGCAGGGTCGGGAAGGGAAGGGCTCGGTGGGTACCGGAGAAGGCTCGGGAAAGGGGAGCGGGATCGTTAACGGGAGCACGTGGGGGGCAAGATCGGTACCGGGGGAGGGGTCAGGACCGGGCCGGGGTCACCGCAGGGGTCACGGGCCCGGGGAGGGTTTGGGGGCACCCGAGCCGGTCCCGGTACCGGAGAGGCCATGGGGACCCCCCCGTGCGGTGCCGGTACCGGGGGGGGGGGCGCTCGGTGTTTGTGCCCCCGGAGGGACCCCCCCCGGTTCGGGGTCACCGGGAGCGGCAGCGGCGGCCCGGGACCCCCCCCGAGCCCCGGGAATTCCGGAGCGGAGGCACCGGGAGCGGGGGTGGGGGCGGGGGTGGCCTTCCTGTCCCCTCCATTGTGTTCGACAGGCCCGGGATTAACCCGATCCCGCCTGGGCTGGACCCGGCCCCAGTCGGGATTAACCCGATCCCGGTTTATTCGGACCCAAAATGCGTCGGGATCAACCCAATTCCGGTTTATTCAGACTCAAAAGGAGTCGGGATTAACCCGATCCCAAATTATTTTAACTGAAACAGGTCGGGACTAACCCGATCCCCGTTTATTTAGACCCAAAATGGGTCGGGATTAATCCGATCCCAAATTATTTGACTTTTGACTATTTGAATTATTATCGGGACTAACCCGATCCTGGTTTATTTAAACCCAAAATGGATCGGGATTAACTCAATCCCGCTTTATTTAGACCCAGACTGGGTTGGGATGAGCCCGATCCCAAATATGGCCCCGGTTCAGGTTGGGATTTTCCTAATCCTGCCTGGTTTAGACCCAAACCAGGTCGGGATTTACCCAATCCCGCAGATTTAAACTCGGTCCTGGCAGGTCCCGACTCCGGGTTGATCCCAGACTCCCACGGGATGTTCCCATCCTTTGTTTATTCCCCAAATCCACCCAAACAGCCCCAAAATCCCATCCCGATTCCGGTTTTTTCCCCCCCAAATCCCGATTTCCCCCCACTTCCAAATCCCGATTTTTCCCCCCTAAATCCCAATTTTTCCCCTAAATCCCAATTTTTCCCCTAAAAGTCCTGATTTCCCCCCCCCCCCCCAAAATCCTTATTTTCCCCTCCGAATCCCCATTTTTCCCCCAAGAAATCCCGATTTCCCTCCCCCCAAATCCTTATTTTCACCCCCCAATCCCGATTCCCCTCCGAAATCCCAATTTTTTCCCTCCCAAATCTAAATTATTCCCCCCCAAAAAGTCCTGATTTCCCCCCCCCCCCAAATCCCATTTTTTCCCCAAAAAGTCCCGATTTTTCCCCCCAAACCTCCCGATTTTTCCCCCAAAAATCCCGATTTTTCCCCCAAAACTCCCGATTTTTCCCCCCCAATCCCGGTTTTCCCGCCCGGGTTTCGCTTGGCAGCGGCCCCGGGGTGCAAAGGTGGCGCGGGCGGGTGGCGGCCGAGGCGTTCCCGGCGACATTCCCGGTGACAATCCCGCTTGGGATGAGTCACCGGAGCCAAACCCGGCACCGGGAATGTCCCAGCTCCGGGGGGGGACACGGAGGGGACACGAGGGAGCTCGGGGTTGTGACATTCCCGGCCGGTTTCCTGTGAAACTGGGCAGGAAATGGGCAAAAAATGGGCAGGAACTGGGGAGAAACTGGGCAGAAATGGCAGGAAATGGGCAGAGACTGGGAAAGAACTGGGGAGAAACTGGGAAAGAACTGGGCAGAGACTGAGCAGAAACTGGGGAGAAACTGGGCAGAGGTAGCAGAAACTGGGCAGGAACTGGACAGAGATGGCAGGAGCTGGGAAGAAATGGTAGGAAATGGGCAGAAACTGGGAAAGAACTGGGTAGAAAATGGGCAGGAACTGGGCAGAGACTGAGCAGAAACTGGGAAAGAACTGGGAAGAAATTGGGCAGGAGCTGGGGAGAAACTGGGAAAGAACTGGGGAGAAACTGGGCAGGAAATGGGCAGAGACTGGGTAAGAACTGGGCAGGAAATGGGAAGAAAATGGGCAGGAACTGGGAAAGAGCTGGGCAGAAACTGAACAGAAACTAGGTAGAAAATGGGCAGGAACTGGGTAGAAAATTGCGTAGAAACTGGGTACGAACTGGGCAGGAACTGAGAAAAGACTGGGCAGAAAATGGGAAAGGACTTGGTAGAAACTGGGTGGAAACTGGGCAGAAATGGAGTAGAAACTGGGAAAGAACTGAGCAGAAACTAGGGAGAAACTGGGAGAGAACTGAGCAGAAACTGGGGAGAAACTGGGAAGGAACTGAGCAGAAACTGGGGAGAAACTGGGAAGGAACTGAGCAGAAACTGGGGAGAAACTGGGAAAGAACTGAGCAGAAACTGGGAAGGAACTGAGCAGAAACCGGGCAGGAGCTGGGCAGGGCAGGAGTGGCCGGACGGGATTTTCCGGCTCCCGGTGGTGGCCGTGCCCAGTGACCTCCTGGTGGCCGTGCCCGGGGCTCCCGGTGACCTCGCGGCCCCGGTGACCCTGCCCTGGCTCCTGGTGGCCCTGCTGGGGCTCCGGGTGACGTCCCCTCCCCTCCGGTGTCCCCGCAGCCGCGCTGGCCGCAGCCCAGGTGACCTCGGAGGACCAGGAAGTGCCGGAGAACAAACGTGAGTGACCCCGGGAGTGTCCCCGTGGTGTCCCCATGGTGTCCCCGTGGTGTCCCTGCGGTGTCCCCGTGGTGTCCCTCCGGTGTCACCGGCCCGGGGATGCACCCGGGGCTGTCCCAAACCCAGGGGTGGGGGCTCCACCCAGGGAGGTTTGGGGGGGTCGGTTTGGGGTCAGCCTGGTTTGGGTGGTCTCAGTTTAGGGCTGATCCCAGTTTGGGCTGATCCCAGTTCAGGGTGGTCCCAGTTGGGGTTGAGCTGGGTTCTGGTTGATCCTGGTCCTGGTTCTGTCTTACCCTGGTTCTGGTCCCAGTTCTGGTTCTGTTCTGCTCCCGGTTCTGGTTCCGGTTTTGTTCTGACCCTGGTCCCGGTCCTGGTTCTGTCTGCCCCTGATTCTGGTCCCAGTTCTGGTTCTGACCCTGGTTCTGTTCTGACCCCAGTCCCCGTTCTGTTCTGACCCTGGTGCCGGTCCCAGTTCTGTCTGACCCTGCTCCCGGTTCTGATTCTGATTCTGTCTGGTCCCGGTTCTGCCTGGTTCTGGGTCCTGGTTCTGCCCCGTTCCCATTCCTGGTTCTGGCCCTGTTCCCGGTTCTGGTCCTGGCTCTGGTCCTGGTTCTGTCCTGGTTCTGCCCCCGTTCCTGTTCCTGGTTCTGCCCCCGTTCCCGGTTCTGCCCCCATTCCCGGTTCTGCCCCCGTTCCCGGTTCTGCCCCCGTTCCCGTTCCTGGTTCTGCCCCCGTTCCCGGTTCTGACCCGGTTTTGACCCGTTCCCATTCCCGGTTCTGTCCCGGTTCTGCCCCCGTTCCCGGTTCTGCCCCCATTCCCGTTCCCGGTTCTGACCCGGTTTTGACCCGTTCCCATTCCCGGTTCTGTCCCGGTTCTGCCCCCGTTCCCGGTTCTGACCCGTTCCCGTTCCCATTCCCGGTTCTGCCCCTGTTCCCGGTTCTGCCCCCGTTCCCGGTTCTGACCCGTTCCCGTTCCCGTTCCCCAGCCGTGGAGCTGCGCTGCGCCGCGTTCCGCTCCAGCTCGGGCAGCGCCCGCATCGAGTGGAAATTCCAGAGGGGCTCATCCCTGACACTGATCTACTACGGGGGGGAGCTCACAGGTACGGGGACAGCGGGGACACTGGGGCACAGTGGGGACATTGGGGACACTGGAGACATTGGGGACATTTGGGGACACTGGGGACAGTGGGGGACAGCGGGGACATGGGAGACACTGGAGACAGCAGGGACATGGGGGGGACAGTGGGGACATTTGGGGGACACTGGGGACAGTAGGGACACTGGGGGCACTGGGACATTGGGGTCATCAGGGACACTGAGGACAGCGGGGACATTGGGGGACACCGAGGACATTGAGGACAGTGGGGACAGCAGGGGATATTGGGGACACTGGGGGGATATTGGGGGATATTGGGGACACCAGGGACATTGGTGACACTAGGGACAATGGGCACACTGGGGGGCACTGGGGACATTGGGGACACCAGGGGACACTGGGGATATTGGGGGTCCTGTGGGGACATTTGGGGGGTCCCAAAGCCCATGGCGACATTTGGGGGGTTCTCTGCAGGGACACTGGGGGGGTCCCCAAGCCTGTGGGGCCATCAGGGTGTCCCCGTGGGGCCATGGGGGTGTCCCTGGGGTGTCCCCTCGATGTCCCAGCCCGGTGTCCCCCAGAGCCGTACCGGGACCGTGTCCAGTTCTCACCCACGTCCATCCGCTTCGCGTCGGTGACGCGGGAGGACAGCGGCAAGTACATCTGCGAGGTGGTGGGGGGATGGCAGCCACATCGCCAAGTCCGAGGTCAACCTCATCGTCCAGGGTGAGGCCACCCTGTCCCCAACCCGGCCTTGTCCCCTGTGCCCAACCCCGGCCTTGTCCCCTGTGCCCAACCCCGGCCTTGTCCCCTGTGCCCAGCCCTGGCCTTGTCCCTTGTCCCCAGCCTTGTCCTCGGCCCCATCCTTGTCCCTTATCCTTGTCCCCATCCCTGGCCTTGGTCCTGGCCCTGTCCTTGACCTTGTCCCTGGCCATGTCATTGTCACCCATCCCTGGTCCCCGGCCTTGTCCCCATCCCTGTCCTGGTCCCTGGTCTTGTCCCTGTCACTGTCCCTTTCCCCAGGGTGACTCTGGGCAGTGCTGGTCACTGTCCCTGTCCCATGTCATGGTGGCTCCAGGCAATGCTGTCACTGTCCCTGTCCCTGCGGTGACTCTGGGCAGTACCATCACTGTCCCTGGGGTGGCTCTGGGTGCTGCCATCCCTGTCCCTGTCCCCATCCCTGTCCCTGTGTGCCCACAGTGTCCCTGCAGAAGCCCCTGGCCCACGTGCCCAGCTCAGCCACCGTGGGTGCCCGGGCTGTGCTGTCCCTGTGTCACTGTCCCTGTGTCACTGTCCCTGTCCCTGTGTCCCTGTCCCTGTCCCCATGGTCACTCTGGGCAGTGTGTCACTGTCCCTGTCCCTGTGTCACTGTCCCCATGTCCCCGCAGTGCCCCCGGGGAAGCCCCTGGCCCACGTGCCCAGCTCAGCCACCGTGGGTGCCCGGGCTGTGCTGTCCCTGTGTCACTGTCACTGTCCCCATGGTCACTCTGGGCAGTGTGTCACTGTCCCTGTGTCACTGTCCCTGTGTCCCTGTGTCACTGTCCCTGTGTCACTGTCCCTGTCCCCGCAGTGCCCCCGGGGAAGCCCCTGGCCCATGTGCCCAGCTCAGCCACCGTGGGTGCCCGGCTGTGCTATCACTGTCACTGTGACTGTCACTGTCCCTGTCACTGTCCCTGTGTCACTGTCCCTGTGTCCCTGTCACTGTCCCTGTCCCTGTGTCACTGTCCCTGTGTCACTGTCCCCATGTCCCCACAGTGCCCCCGGGGAAGCCCCTGGCCCACGTGCCCAGCTCAGCCACCGTGGGTGCCCGGGCCGTTCTGCGCTGCTCCGAGGCCCAGGGCTCGCCCCCTCCCACCTTCCGCTGGTACAAGGACGGCACGGAGCTGCCCCAGGACCCCAAATCCAGCCCTGCCTTCCGCAACTCCTCCTACAGCCTGGACCCGCGCACGGGGGAGCTGGTCAGTGCTGGGGCCTTCCTGCCCCTCTCCCTCTCACCTTTTCCTGCCCTTTTCCCTCTTTTCCTCCCCTTTTCCTGCCCCTTTCCCTGTTTTCCACTCTTTCCCCCTTTTCCTGTTTTTCTCCCTTTTCCTGCCCCGCTTTCCCCTTCATTTCCTCCCCCATTTTTTCCCCATTTTCCCCCCCTATTTCCCCTGTATTTCCCCCCCTATTTCCCCCATTTTTCCCCCAGTTTTCCCCCCATTTTTCCCCCATTTTTCCCCATTTTCCCCCATTTTTCCCCCATTTTTCCCCCCATTTTTCCCCCATTTTTCCCCCATTTTTTCCCCCATTTTTTCCCCCCATTTTTTCCCCCATTTTTTCCCCCATTTTTTCCCCCATTTTTTCCCCCATTTTTTCCCCCATTTTTCCCCCATTTCCCTGACCCCTGCCCTGTCGCAGGTCTTTGAGCCGGTGGGGGGCTGGGACACGGGCGATTATCACTGCGAGGCCTCCAACAACGTGGGCAGCCCCCAGAAATCCGACGTCTTCCGCATGGAGGCCAGTAAGGAGCGATCCCAATTCCTGATCCCAATCCCGATCCCATCATCCCAATCCTGATCCAAATCCCCATCCCAATCCTGATCCCCAATCCCAATCCCTATCCTGATCCCATCCCGATCCCTATCCTGATCCCAATCCTGATCCCCATCCCCTCCCAATCCCAGTCCCTATCCTGATCCCAATCCCCATCCCAATCCTATTCCTGATCCCAATCCCAATCCCCATTCTGATCCCAGTCCCCCAGTCCTGTGGGATCCCCCTGATCCCATTGAATCCCCCCAATCCCGTGGGGTCTCCCCGATGCTGTTGGATCCCCCCAATCTCCCCGATCCCCCCAGTCCCATGGGGTCTCCCTGATCCTCTGGGATCTCCCCAATCCCATGGGATCCCCTGGAGCCCTCCTGATCCCCACAATTCAGTTGGATCCCATTGGATCCCCCAATCCCGTTGGATCCCCCAGTCCCGTTGGATCCCCCCAACCCCCCCAAGCTGTGGGGTGTCCCCAATCCCGTGGGATGCCCCCGATCCCATGGGATCCCCGGATCCCCCGCTCCCCTCCGGGTGTCCCGCAGGCGAGGTGAACGTGGGCGGCAATCGTGGCCGCCGTGGTGCTGCTGCTCCTGGTCCTGGGCCTCGCCGCCTTCGGGGTCTGGTTCGCCCACAGGCGCGGCTACTTCAGCAGTGAGAGACTGGGAGGGACTGGGAATCAACTGGGAGGGACTGGGATGGACTGGGAGGGAATGGGAATGGACTGGGAGCAACTGGGAGGGAATGGGATGGGATGGGATGGGAATGGATTGGGAATAGGACTGGGAGGGAATGGGAATGAACTGGGATGGACTGGGAGGGACTCGGAATGGTCTAGGGTGGACTGGGAGGGACTGGGAGTGAATGGGAGGGACTGAGATGGGACTGGGACCAAACTGGGATGGGACTGGGAATAGGACTGGAATGGACTGGGAGGGACTGGGAATGGTCTGGGGTGGACTGGGAATGGCCCTGTGTCCCTGGGGATGTCCCCATGTCCCAGTAATGTCCCCCCTGTGTCCCCCTCCCCTCCCTGATCCCCATTTTTTTCCCTTTTTTCCAGAAAAAACAGAGTGAGTGACACCAGAGCCACCTCCTCCTCCTCCTGCTGGGTGACCCCACCCCCCCAGTGTCACCCTGGTGTCACCTCGGTGTCCCCCCGGTCCCTGGGGTTTCCCCTGGTAGGGACAGAGGGGACACGGGGGCGGGTGGCACATCCCAAAATCCCGATTTTCCCGCAGCGCCGGCGGGAAGAAGGTGATTTACAGCCAGCCCTCGCGGCGCAGCGAGGTGAGCACAGGGGACACCGCGGGGACACCGCGGGGACACCACGGGGACACCGCAGGGACCCTGCCACCGCCCCGGTGGGGACACCCCAGTGGCAGGGGGACACCCTGGTGTCCTCAGTGTCCCTTGGCAGGAGGGTCCAGGGGGGGTGGTGGGAGGGGATGGTGTTGCCTGTGATGTCCCCAGTGATGTCCCCATTGATGTCACCATGTCCTCATGGATGTCACCATGTCCCTAGTGATGTCCCCATTAATGTCACCATGTCCCCAGTGATGTCCCCATTGATGTTCCCATGTCCCTGTTGGTGTCCCCATTGATGTCACCATGTCCCCAGTGATGTCCCCATTGGTGTCCCCATTGCTGTTCCCATGTCCCCATTGATGTCACCATGTCCCTATTAATGTCCCCAGTGTCCCTGGGGATCGTGGTGGAGGGAGGGGGCTCATGGGGCTCCCTGTCCCCATTGATGTCCCCACTGATGTCCCCATTAGTGTCCCCATTGATGTCCCAGTTGTCCCCATTGATGTCCCTGTCATTGTCCCCAAGAATGTCCTTGTCAGTGCCCCATCCCTGTCCCCATCAATGTCCCGTGTCCCCATCAATGTCCCCATGCCTGTCCCCATGTCCCCATCAATGTCCCCATACCTGTCCCCCATGCCTGTCCCCTTCCCTGTCCCCATTGATGTCCCTGTCATTGTCCCCAAGAATGTCCTTGTCAGTGCCCCATCCCTGTCCCCATCAATGTCCCCGTGTCCCCATCAATGTCCCCATGCCTGTCCCCATCAATGTCCCCATACCTATCCCCATGCCTGTCCCCTTCACTGTCCCCATCCATGTCCCCATTGATGTCCCTGTCATTGTCCCCAAGAATGTCCTTGTCAGTGCCCCATCCCTGTCCCCATCAATGTCCCCGTGTCCCCATCAATGTCCCCATCCCTGTCCCCATCAATGTCCCTGTGTCCCCATCCATGTCCCCATGCCTGTCCCCATGTCCCCATCAATGTCCCCATACCTGTCCCCATGCCTGTCCCCTTCACTGTCCCCATCCATGTCCCCATTGATGTCCCCATCAATGTCCCCATGGCTGTCCCCGTGTCCCCATCAATGTCCCCATCAATGTCCCTGTGTCCCCATTGATGTCCCCGTGTCCCCATGGCTGTCCCCGTGTCCCCGCAGGGCGAGTTCAAGCAAACCTCCTCATTCCTGGTGTGAAGTCGTCCCCGCCACCCCCCGGACACTTTTTCCCAATTCCCGGAATTCCGCGGGATTTGGGGAATTCCGCAAGATTTTAGGAGATCCATGGGATTTTGGGAATTCTGTGGGATTTTGCTAATTCCAGCAGGATTTTCAGAATTCTGTGGGGATTTTAGGAGATCCACGGGATTTTGGGGAATTCCCACGGGATTTTCGGAATTCTGCAGGATTTGAGGAATTTCCTGTGGGATCTGGGAATTCCCGCAGGATTTTTGGGAATTCCTGCAGGATTTTGGGAATTCGGTGGGATTTTAGGAGTTCCATGGGATTTTAGGAACCCTGTGGGATTTTAGGAATTCCGCGGGATTTTGGGAATTCCCGCGGGATTTTCTCCGCGGTTTTTTTTAGAGCCTCTTCGGTGCCTTCGCCGCCGCTGCCTCTGGAACTTGGGGGTCCCCGCATCCCCTTTGTCCCCTCTTTGTGTCCCCCCCATTGTCCCCTCTTGTCGCCCCCATTGTCCCCTCCCATTCTCCCCTTGTCCCCCTTATTGTCCCCTTTGTCCCCTCCCCTCGTTCCCCCTTTTTGTCCCCCCCCTCTCCATTGTCCCTCCCTGTCCCCTCTCTGTCCCCGGGGGGGCTCTGGGAGGGGACAGGGCTGGTGCCACCACTTGGGGACAGCGCCAGTGTCCCACTGGTCCCAGTGGCCCCCCTGAACTGGGAGCGTGTGTGGGGGGGTACTGGAAATAAACCTGTGTCCTTTACCTGGCCTGGTGACACCGGGGGGGACAATGGGGACAATGGGGGGGGACATTGGGGGTCTCGGGGGACATTGTGGGGGACGCTGGGGGTGTCTCCGGGGACAGTGAGGGGACATTCTGGGGACATTGGGTGGGTCCCTGGTGACATTGGGGGGGGGGTCCCTGGGGGCTGAGGTGACATTGGGCTGGTCTATCAGTGGGGGACATTGGGGTCGCAGTGGGGACATTGGGGGGGGTCCCTGGGGGTCACAGTGGGGACATTGGGGTCACTGGGGACATTTGGGTCACTGGGGACATTGGGGGACCCCCGGGGACATTGCAGGGGGGGTCCCTGGGGCTGAGGGGACATCGGGGACACCGTGGGGACACTGGGGACACCCCCCACCATCGACGTCACCTTTATTGAACTCCTGCCCCTCCCCCCCCGCCCCCAAACCGAGCTCGGGCCCCCCCGGGGGGGGGAGGGGCGGTTTTGCGGAGGGGGGGGGTCCCGCTCCTTCCTCATTACCGACACCTTTAATTAGTGGCACTAATTGCCCCGGCGCGGGGGGGGCCGCGTTAATTGCGGGGTCTACGTTAAGCAGCAGCGACGGGCGGGGGGGGAGGGGGACACGGTGGCCGATTATCGGTGACACCCCCGGGGGGACCCCCCCGACACTGCCCGGGGCTGGGGGGGGGGGGGGGGGGACGGGGAGGGGCTCCAGCGCTTGGGGGGGGCTCCTGCCTCAGTTTCCCCTGGCAGGGCGGGGGAGCAGCGGCGTCCTGGGGGCTGGTGGCACCTCCAGGGGGTGGTGGCATCTCCAGGGGTTGGTGGCACTTTGGGGAACCAGGGACTGGTGTCACCTCTGGGGACGGGTGCCATCGTAGGGCTGGTGTCACCTCCAGGCATGGTGGCATCTCCAGGGGTTGGTGGTACTTTGGGGCTTGGTGTCACCTCCGGATGGTGGCACTTCCAGGGCTTAGTGACACCTCCAGACACTTGTGGAGTCTTGGCTGGTGGCTCTTCTGGGCGTTGGTGACACTTTGGGGCTGGTGGCACCTCGGGGCTGGTGGGACTTCCAGATGCTGGTGACACGTCCAGGCATTGGTGGCATTTCCAGGTGTTGGTGACACTTTGGGGCTGGTGGTACCTTCAGGACCTGGTGGCACCTCCAGGCATTGGTGGCATCTTGGGATTGGTGGCACCTCCAGATGTTGATGACAATTCCAGGCATTGGTAGGATTTTGGGGCTGGTGTCACCTCCGGGCTGGTGGCACATCCAAACTTTGATGTCACCTTCAAGTGTTGGTGACACCTCCAGGCGCTGGTGTCACTTCAGGGCTGGTGGCACCTCCAGACGGATGTTGGTGACACCACCAGGGCTGGTGACATCTCAGCACCAGTGACACTTGAGGATTGGTGGCTTCTTCAGACACTGATATCCCCTTGGGGTTGGTGACACCTCCAGGGGTTGGTGACACTTTGGGGCTGGTGACACCTCCAGGGGTTGGTGTCCCATTGAAAGTGGTGAAAACTCCAAACTTGGCAACACTTCCAGACTTGGTGACACACTGAGGCTGGTGACACCTCCAGACTTGATGACACCTCCAGGGCTGGTGACACCTCCAGATGTTGGTGTCCCCTTGAATCTGGTGACACCCCCAGGTGTTGGTGTCCTTTTGGGGCTGGTGACACTCCCAGATGTTGATGTCCCTTTGGGGCTGGCGTCCCTTTGGGGCTGGTGACACCTCCAGCACTGGTGACACCCCCAGGTGTTGGTGTCCCTTTGGGGCTGGTGACACTCCCAGATGTTGATGTCCCTTTGGGGCTGGTGACACCCCCAGATGCTGGCACCCCCCTGCCCCTGGCGACCCCTCCACCATCCGCCACCACCCCTTTGCTCCACCACCACCACCACCACCACCCCCTCGCTCCGCTGCCACCCCCTGGCCCCGGCGCCGATGTCACCTCCGTGTCCCCCCATCTCAGACGTTGCTGATGCGGACGCTGAGCGGGGCCCCCTCCCCGTCCCGCTCCGCCTCCCGCAGCGACTCCTCCAGCTTGACCTTCTCGGGGTCCCCGAACCGCACGGCCTCGTGGTGACAGCAGGGCGCCGCCACCTTCACCACGCGGTCGAAGAGGCTGAAGTCGGCCACGTACTTGCCGCTGGCCGACAGCGAGATGGCCGGCGTGAACTCGTAGCCCCACAGGATCTCCTCGGGCAGGTAGGACGTGCGCACCTGGCACGTGGCGCTGGTGGACTCCACGGTGCCGCTCAGGATGACCACCAGCTCGAAGTCGCCGTCCCCCGAGCGCAGGGACACGTCCCGCAGCGGGCTGGCCTCGTCCACCACGTGGTAGAAGGTCAGCGGCAGGATGAGGAAGGGGCTGTCCGAGGACGTGTCCACCTGGAAGTCCACGTTGAGCTGGTTGAGCCGGACGCTCTCGCCCTCCTTGGTCAGGTGGGTCTGCAGCAGCTTGCCGGTGACCTGGCAGCCGATCAGGAGGCTCTTCCTCATGTTGGCCACGCGGATCATCAGGCAGGTCTTGCCGTCGTGCTGCGCCACCACGGCGTTCTGGCTGAACTTGATGGTCTCGGCGCGCTTCTTGGGCCGCGCGATCTTGGCCAGGAAGGTGCCGGTGATGAAGATCTCCAGGATGGTGGTGAGCACCAGCTGGGTGATGAGCAGCACGATGGCCAGCGGGCACTCCTCGCTGATGTAGCGGAAGCCGTAGCCGATGGTGGTCTGCGACTCGAGGGAGAAGAGGAAGGCTCCGGTCAGCGTGTGCACCTGCATCACGCACGGCGTGTGGTTGGCGGGCGGCTCAAACTCCAGCAGGTCGCCGTGCGCCGCCGCCACCCAGGTACCACACCACGCCGAAGGCGAACCAGGTGCCGG